AAACTTTATGAGTTTCAGAACGACGAAAAGACAAAACTTAAATCAATTCGCAGGAAGCGTGACCAAAAAGCAGTGCTTCATCTGGATGTTGATAGACGGCAATGTGTGAGATGACGTGTTATTCCCAGAACAGATTATGTACATGTCAAAATCGTGTGGGGATAGCTCCAAATTGGTTAGAATCAATCATCTCCAAGACTGCGGGACCAATATATTTGCTAACCACAAAGTCCTCAGCTAACTTGGACAAAGCCGGTGTCAGGGAGATAGGTCGAATATGCTTGGCGATGGTAGTCACCGGCTTAACTTTCATCAGAGGTGTGACATCGGCATCCTTCCAGGACCTTGGGAGTTTCTGCTCAGCGAAAGATGCATTCAGAATGTCGCAGACCGGAGAAGTTAAGAAGTCAGCATAGTCCCGAAGAAGCCAGTTGTTAATGCCATCTGGTCCCCCGGCCTTCCTCACATTACATACCTCCGAGGGGCTAACTATTACAAGCTCAGAGTCGTCCGCAAGTGGGGGGAGACACGAAAGCGGCGTATAATCCTGCATCGGTTCAAGAAGAGCCGAGTTGATCATGTTTGCAATGTCCTGATTAGAGTGCGCCGCGATCCCGTCAAGGTGTAAATGCGAACGTATGTCTTCCCCACCAGTAGCCGGAGTCATCCCAGCAATCATTTTAACATCTCTCCACCACTGGCTAGGCTTGGTTGTCTTGAGGTTAGCGACTTTCGATGCGTAGAACTTTCCGCGACACACCTTTCGCTCACGATTGGTGATGTTCCGAAGATGTCTATAACCCTCAGTATCACCTTGCGCAAAGGCTTTTTGACGCGCCTTGATAAGAGCCTTAAATTCAGCTGTCACCCAAGGAGGGTCATTCACGTGAAGCTTGACAGTCTTTAAAGGCATGAATGAGTTTTAGAGCAATAAAGTTAACAGAAATACAATTGAGTGTGGTATGTGCTTTGGTGCAACGCTACTGAAGTCGGTTATTGAACGGCTGGTTTAATTATGGTGCGAAGTTTTGTTTTGTTTTGTTTTTGTCAAGAGTAAACAACATTTAATTCAAAGAAATGCATGGTTATTAAAAGTGAACGAAAAAAAAAAAAAGAACTAAACAATTTCTGCCTCACAAATTATTTTCCCTTACCTTTTGTAAGTGATTCTTACCCTTGTTTTAAAATCGGAGGGCGATTTGAGAGAGTAGACAGTGCGTTCAAGAGTCCAAAGCAGTCAAACGTCTGACAATTCATAGTGTTCCGATGCCTGCATGCTGCATGTTGTGTTTTGTTTCGTGGGATTTCCTTCATCAAACCAGTTTGCACGATTCGAAAATTGAGCATTGTTTGCTACGCTTTAAAATGCTTGACTCGCACCATTTGGCAATGAATTTTATACATGTACCTATTTCTAAATGTGTCGAAAAAAAGGCAAAGGGCAAACGGACCTCATGATACAAAAAGCGATTAGGTACATTTTTGTATATTGTTCGCTGGAACTAAAGCAACTCATCGCAGAATGATAAGAACAATGGTGTGGGGGGTATTTGTGTAACTCACTCGCTAAGCGATGAGGTACCGAGAGTATTCTTTTTACATCTTGTTCTTTATTGTTCTAGACTTCTACAGCCCTTACAAAACGACTAACTAACAAGTTAAAAAGTAGCAGTTTTTATAACCACAGCTGGATACATTTGGGTTACCTGACCGTGGAAAAAAAAAACAAGGTAAACACGGTGTGGGTAATGTTTTGGTATTACTGAACCTAAATAAATGCGATCGCCAAGAAGCTACAAAACAATGAAAAACTAAAACGCTGGTTAACAAACCCAAACGCGAACTTTGACGGAACTTAACACGACCACCTATGACCCACTTAATGAAACGAAAACGAAACTCAAAAGACGAGAAGGATATTTAAAATAACTTCCAAAATACATCAGTACTAAACAATAGCAAAGAACACAATAATATCTTTCAAAGAACTCTCGTAAACGACCTCTTCTCGTAGGCGACGCCTATTTCCCTTTCGTAAACGGTCGTTGCCATTTTTAACGGTCAAAGCCACCCTTGGTAACCAAGCCTTTAGTCATGATGGATGTAAAATATTCCCTGGATTAAGTTACAATAAGGCAAATAATACGTTCTTGAAAAGTCTTAGAAAGAATGAAAGTGAAGTCCAAGTTGAATTTACGGTAAAAGTTATGGAAAGGGCTATGGTCACTTGTTATTGATGTAACAGCTAAGAAAGACAGTTTGCTAGTGAATGCACTTAAGTTTTTCGGACTTTTGGCTGGTCGCTGTGGTAGTGTAGTGGTGAGAGAAAGAGATTAGGATAAGAAAGGCCCGGATTCGTTTTCCAGGTTTGACCCTGGGTTGCAATTTTCTTTCTTTTTAATAGAAACGCTTTCGATCGCAAAACGCGCTCGTTCATCAATAAACATGGCGGGTTAAGGTTCGTTCAGGCAAAAGTTATTTATACTTCTACGTTGTTCTATGCCGCTAAAGGACTGTAGTATATCAAACTCAAGTTCCACTGTAACTCTAAATCCGTAAGGAAGTGAAAACGCTTGGATTTTGTCACCGTAAAAGTACTGTCCAATGACTGTGTGTGTTTAGAGCTACCCTGCGAGCAGTGGTTTCTCCAGGCCGGACACTACCGGAGAGAAACCGTTTCTCTCCCGTAGCGTCCGGCCTGGAGAAACCACTGCTTGCAGGGTAGTTTAGAGCGCGCTTCTCAGCACTTGAGAATACGTAATTATCTTCTGAATTTTCTTGAATCAAATTCCAGATTATTTTAAGTTGACGAGTCCTAGTATAAAACACCACCAGTTAAAGAGATACTTTTTTCTTTCCGTTTCTCCTCGAAAAGATGCTTATCAAATTTAGCAGAAAGAAGTGAAAAGCGATGCGTTGAAATTGAGAAGTAATATCAGAGCAGCAAGCAGCTGCTGGATGGATCAATCTTATTTCAGATAGTTGTTCCTGCTAGCACGAAAATCCAAGCAGTTTGGATTGTCCAAATCCGAAAAACGTTTGGCTAAAAGGAATGCAAGCTAGATATGATCACTTCAAGGACTGACGTCACTCGAAAAAGCATCGAAAGGTACTTCGTGTGTTGCAACGTTTTCACGGATAAGTCTACTGCTTGGGCTAGAATTTAGTGATATCTAAGTCTCAAGAGTGACCGATATCAATTTTTTCCCAACAAAAAAGGGAACAAGAGCCAATGGAATGCTCACCTAGGGCGAATTAACAATTATTATTCATTCAAAATATTTCTCTGATTCTGATTGGCTAAAAGCACACGCATAATTCACCATAACCAGTTACTGATGACCAAATTTGGAAGAATTTTGTGTTTAGCGAGGAAATGACGTAAAAAATGCAGCGTTTTTGCAGGTTAATGCACCGTTTACCGAGAAGACCTGGGGACGAGGTTGAGTTGTTTTGGTTATGGGAACAAAAATGGCGGACATTTCAATCGTTTCAAGAGTAAGTTCAACTAGGCGAAATAATAGCTAAAAACATGGCAAGAACAACAAGAAGACAATTCGAAGGGCGATATCTGCTATTTGTAGAATATTTGCGGAGCTGAACAACCCCAAATGTGCACTATCGAAGATGAACTAAACATCGATGGATCGATGGAGGTAAGCATGTTTTAGCTATGTATTTAAACTAGGAATTATTTTGAATGAATCATAAAATAATTATTGAATTCGGCTTTCGTATCATATGAAGAATCGTGGAGATCTCGGAGGGTGTTATCCGCCTCGGCCTACGGCCTCGACGGATAACACCCTCCTCGATCTCCATAATTCTTCATAAGATACTCAGCCTCATTCATTAATTGTTGATTATTCCTCGAGCCCGAATGGGCTCTGAGTCAATAGCCCATGAGGCCGAAGGCCGAATAGGCCATTAACTCAGAGGCCATGAGGGCGAGAGTAATAATTGTTTTTGTAAAATCCAACTAGTTGGTCAAAAATATCGAGACAAAACAACTTTAGCTAGTTAAAGCTAGACTTAAAGCCATTGTTTTGGTTTTCAATGCTGGCGCTTTTCGCTACTAGTGGGCTATAACATATAGCCTAGTAGTAGCTCAGCCAATCAGAACGCAGCATTAATAATAGACCACTAGTTGGATTTTACTAAAAGCTTTTATCTTTAAACAAATTTTCCCAGCTTATGAATTAAGGAAATGTATGGAGATCAGTCTGGAGAATTTTAGCCTGTCTACAGAACCCCCACCCTCAGGAAAAATCGATTTTTCCTGAGGGGAGGGTGGTCTGTACACAGGTGAGAGAATTTGTGTTTAACAGGGTTTAAAGGGTTAAAAGGCTGTGTATAATACGCTAGAATTATCAGAAGGAACACTTATCATGGTGCTCCTTATTGCTTTTTGACAACAAAGAAAAGACTTACATCGTGCATCACCAAGATTTGAACCTTAAATTGACAAAAACGTTAGCTTTTGAGATTTGAAACCAAAGGCAAGGCACATTGCCCAATATCTCGGTGAGCCAAAACTAACCTTAATCAGGGGCTAATTGCAGCCAGCTTGGTGACGTTGCCTTTTGCATGAGGCCAATAGGAATATATCGAATTGGCTTGACCTAATTATTACCTTCCAAACAGACAGAAAATATCGCTGCTGATAGTTTATAGACTTGATACTGTATTTAATAAGTCAGATGTTATCTGTTCTCCACTCAAGTCTTGACCAGGTATAATTTTTCAGGATACATTAACTTGATATTAGATTCAAGTGGAATTTTGCGTATTCCCATTTCTTTCATTTACAAGTGTATGGAATATGAGAAATCAGTGACAAATGCAGTTGCAGTGAATGAATAATTTGAGGTTTATTTTATTGCATTGTCACAGGTACAGTTTCAAGAGGCGTTAGATCATTTTATCGGACTATTTTTAAAAAAGTACAAAAATGAACTTCTGCCTAGGTTTATAACGCCTTTATTCAGTTTGAAACTTGTTCAGAATGCCTGTGGTTTGCAAGGTGATGGCATAACAACCCTGGCTTTTCCTTCACGCCCATGAATGAAATCAGACCACTTATAGACGTTCCCCTCACGCCCAGGAAGGCAGACTTTTGACATCTGCTTAATCTGTGCTGTGGACAGCACGTAATTCCAGACATTGACGTTTGTTAGCATCCCAATGAAGCCCTGATGTTTTTCAAAGGAACCTCCAAGAGAATCTTGCTCTTGAGCCAGCGTAAGAGATCCGCCAGATCTTATCACGCGACCAGCCTGGAACCAAATCCCGCTCGAAGCCACAAATCCATCTTTGTACAGTTTCCATGAGCCCAATTTGTTTTCCCAAGATGCACAGATGTGGTGCCATCTCCCATCATTTGCCGATACGTGGGTCGTTCTAAAGGGAATTACATGTGTAGAGAAATCACTTCAGTGATTCGTAAATAGATAAAGCTAAACAAACCTAACAACCAACACCATCTGTTAGCTAAAGGGAGGTTTGCCTTGTCGATTGATACTATGGCCACAATATTAGCCCCCTTTATACATGCACATGAAGAATTTCAACAATCGAGTTGACAGCAACATCAATTCGCTTTGGATAGGAGTTCTTGTCAAAATATTTAGGTCTCTGAGGTTTGTATGGAGCAGTACCTGAACTTGTCATCAATGCCAAACTGAAAAGATCTGTAATTGTACAAGACAATTGTATTAGCTGTGCGAGGAGTACTGTAGCTGAACGGAGTACCATCGTTTCTCGTGTCGCTTGACTTCATCCAAAGACACGCTGTGAACTGGGCCAAACCTGGCATTCCCCAGATGTTTACATAGTCAGTGCTACCTCTGTATGGAAAGTGTAAAGCGTAGTCTACAATAAAGAAGAATAATTCAACTTTAATTAAAGATCTGTTATAAACGCTTAAAAAAAGGTCTTATTCTGAAGGTAACAATCCCATCGAGCCTTTGAGGGATTTCCTCTAATAAATAAAAGTATTGCATCAGATTGGTCCGAGTGAAATCTCCTTATAGACTGTGAATCAACGAGGTCTCCAATGCAAATTTAGCAAAACGTTCTCGTCAGTCGCATAATGATATGCTTGAACATGTCTTCAATCTGATTGGCTAAGAGCATGCAATGCATTTTTTAGTAAACTCAGTGCAAAAACGAGGAAACATAAAATGAAAATTACCTCAGAGAATGGAGCACTGTAATATGTTGATAAAAAAAAGAAATACAGAGGAACCGATCAGGTGCCGCAATCTTTATTGCGCGTAAGACTGGTTCAGTGTTGTGTCGAATTGCATTGTGGGACTGTTTGGAGGCAAATTTTCATCAAGTAAATTTTCTTTCATGTATATTATTTAAAAGTAATAATAAGTCTTTTATCCCTCAATTTGGTATTGATTTGTTAGTTATAAGCAGAGGCTTCTGAAAACTGGCGGGCTATTGACACGAATTTTTGGACCCTGGTTTATGTATTGAAAATTAGATCGGATCCTTTTATTATTACCCCTTTAGACCCAGGTGCACTGGCTGCTCTCAAGGTACTCTGTTGAATACGATTAGAGGCAATACCGTTACCTTTGAGAACAGTTTTTACTGCAGAGCCCCAAGAACCTGGAACACTTTACCTGTCCACCTTCGGAACGTTGACTGTTCAGTAGTGCCGCTTTAAGAACGAAATTTTTAATTACTATTTGTATCTTACTAAGTCTATTTATGATGTCTACACCCCCAAAACCCCCAAAAAGGGGGATGGGGAGAGTGAGAAACGCAAAAGGGAATCAATCAATCAACACCCCCTCCCTTTCCCCCTTCCTCCCAATCCCCTACCCCAGGTCTGCTAGGCAGGGTACAAGAGTGTTGGTATCAAGTGCCACATTAGTCGGCCATTGACCAGCTTGCTCGATCAAATGTGTGGTTGATTCTTTTATCAATGTTTGCGCCAATTCTGTTTGTTATTGCCGTTTCTGTTGTTTCTAGTGCATTGTCATTATTGTATGCATGTATTTGCATGTATTATTATAACTATTTATTTTTTCTGGACCTCGTTTTGTAGCTTGTTCTGTGAGTTATCCAGGCCTCTTGACGAAGTTTGTAAATATATATATAAAAAAATAATTAATTTTGATACTGAAAATCACGATCTTGCAATTGAATTAATCTGGAAGTCGTGTGATTACCATAACGTATACTTTGGGGGAAAAACCAGACGGCTTTAGTCCAATCCAAGCGTAACTTGAGGTAAGAACATCTTATCGCTTGCCCTCTTCCGTGGTCTCTATGCTCTCAACTCCCGTTTAGATCTTTTTAAACTACTTCTTTGCTTTTATCGTTAGGTGTTGGGGATGACGACTTAAGGCAAAGTGTTTGAAGGCTTAAACAATTAAAAATACGTTATACTAACCCAATGATGAGTAACAAATATAAAGGAAACTCAGCCAAGTTACTAACAAGGAATAAAAATAAAGTTCGGTACTTACAGAGTCTTGACGACAAGAAATGACACTATAATTACACAATTTGTAAAAGTATTTCTAGTTTCAAATCATTTTAAACCTTACCAGTTAGAGAGCAAACCATGTTACATCCAAAGATCAGGATAAAGCAAATATTAAGGTACTTTGAAGGCATGACTGTCAAACTATGAGAGAAATGGCCAAAGCAAATAATCAGGAAGGTAGCACTTCAGTAGTCGGTAATTAACACACATATAGATGATTGATTTTTCTAGACAGAAATCACAGGAATGAGTACGCAGTTGAAAAGTGCCCAGCTTATTTTGAAATGATTATAAAGTACTCATGACATTCATGCCGGGCTTTGAGAAGACTTATTGACATGCCGGTACACAAGGGTGGAGGGCAAGTCTTCTTGCGTTTATAAGAGGTTTATGTGACTGTTTCACTCTCACTCTATACGGACCTATACACCAGCTTGTCAATATGTAGAACTAGAGGCATCTTTTTACCGATAATCAGCGTCAAGGTCTATGTCCTGAAAATGTTACCCGATAAGTATTACTTTAAGTATTAATATGTCATATAATAGGCGTTTTATTTCCTCAATTTAGGAGAATCCGTTGGAGCTGTTTTCTAAACTAAAAACCACATTGTCTAGTTTTTAGTAGGCTGATGAAAAATTAATACATGACTCACTAATTGATTTGCATTGTTCTAAGTTTGCTGCGGATTTATCAAACCCTTAAAGCCGATTTTTCAATTTATATTCATGCTAAAAATTTTGTTAACCTTAACTGTTAGAGGTCGGTTTACAAGTTGTCCACCGACAATTAAGGAGGACAATTAAAAATCTAAATTTACACGGTACGATTTGTTTGCTCGAAGCTTGTACGTAATAATAAGGCCCCAAATTATGAAAATTCGCTCAAAATCGGAGCGACTAATCAGTTACCTCAGAAAAAAAAACCTCGCTTTTTTATAAGATCATTTAAGGGACATGACAATCCCGGTTGTCAAATTACTGAGGTGTTTTAGGAGAAAAATAAAAAAAGGGAGAAATGTGAAGGTGCTTTACGCTGTCGTGACTGAATGAAAAGTTTGCAAAAAGGAGGAGATCGTAGTCAACGGGAAACTAGAATCACTGCCTCACTAAAAGTCATATTTTACAGCAGAATATCTTTATCTTGTTAAATGGGAAATGAAAGAGTTCATACTTGTACATCGAAGAACTGGCGTTTCAACCGTTTTTCTGAAGTGCATCGATTGTCTTTATGTTGTTCAGTTCGATCGTGCAACGCTACATTCTCATCTATTACTAGTTTTCTGAAGCTGGAGAAAACGTTTCGCTCTTTATTCTAAAAGCTTCTGAAAAATTTGATGGCGCTAAGTCAATGAATTTCCTTAGCGGCTGTACTTGGACATCAGAGCCATTTAGGAACATGCATTTCCTACTGACCCTGCCTAAGCAAGTAGGTTTCAAAAAGACTTCGAGGCTGCGTGATAAGACTGAGAAGAGATAATTCACCAGCCAACAGGAGGTATAAAGCTAATCACCTTACCTTTGTCTCTCTGGTAGTGCTCTGCGAAGTCGGATGTAAGACTGTAAAATAATGTTTTTGAGCCACCAGCTAAACCGTCTCGAGACATTCGGTAAAACAAAAGGATTATACAAGAAAATCTTTCTACTGACTTGTTTAACTTTTTTGTCTTTTAGTGCTCTGGGCACTTTTTCCCTTCGCCTGTTTCTCTACCAAATACTGAGTACTACATCATTACCTTTCATTGTGAGACAGTTTCTATAATGGCAATTAATAGAATAAAGTTAAATAAGCGTTAAGAGATAAATGTGTGCGATCGACGTTATGTTTACTAGTTCCTTTATGCAAATTCTGAAATATCTAACGCTAAGCAAGCTCAATTGACGCATTGTTGTCTATATTTAGCCTTTACCAAAAACGAATGATTAAGTTGAAACAGTGATTTTATCAAATGGCTGCAAAAGGTTTTTCTTGGAAGTATGTACCACCAAACTTTCGTCTGTGGTGGGGAGAGGGGAATCATACTTCTGCCACATACATGTCAGACAAGCGGAAAATATACATGTACCACTCAAAATGATTTGGGCTGCAAAACGTTTATCATACATGCATCCTTATACACACTGATTATTTAATAACCTTTTTAATAGGGCTCTTCAACAACCGACAACTAAAACCCAAAGAACGGAACGAACGTTAGCGTTAATAGAGGATAAAATCGCGCTACTGAAGGAAGTTTGTATCCTTCGATTACATCATTTGGGCTGCTACATTTTTATCATACATCCTTATACACACTGATTATTTAATACTGTTTAATAACCTTAGGCTCGTTTTCAACAACCGACAACTGAAAACCTAAAGAACCAAACGCACGTTAGCGTTAATCGAGGATAAAATTGCGCTACCGAGGGAAGTTTGTATCATTCGATTACTTTATTTCTCTGAAAGCAGTCTTTGAAACCGAGCTAAACAAGGGTTCAACTTAACATGCATTATGACAGCACAGTAAATAATTATTTTCATTTATAAATCGATTGTAGTTGTTCTTTACCATGTTGAAATGCTGATGGCGATAAGCAGTGTCGATAGAAGCAAAGCTAGAAAAACACAATTCAATGATTAAACGGTTTTATCTCCGAGCCTAACAAAACCAATCATGCGGAAAACGATTGACCTAAAAGCGAAATAATTCTTGTTGTATAAATAGAAGTTGTAAACGCCATTATTTTTCAGTCGAAAATCTAACCGTCCTCCCAACTATACACCTTGAAATCGACGCAAGTCTCCCATTACAAGGGAAGACTGAAAAAATAGGGGGTTTCAGAGTTTACAAAGGGTAAAGTATATGAATAAAAATATTGGAACTTAAGTTGTTTTTGTAAGTTATGAATTTGATTAACTTAAATACACGACCATATAAAAAAGTGTGTGTCCTCGGTCACGATGCTTATTTTGCTGTTCTTCTTCCGTTATTTAAGACTGCTTATTGTTCACCCCATAAGTTCTCTTATTTAAGTTTACGTTTTTTGGCTACACAACATGAATATTCTTTTCATCCTATCAACCTCTTTACGCGTTGGAAGTAAGGTGATTTAAATAAAACTAGCACGCGTTCAGACTGCTCGAATAGACCCCTTTACGGTTGTGAGGGCATGCTGGGTAATCAGAACAAGATGGCGGCGAATTCAAAAATTTGCATGGAAATTCAAAATCAACTAATTCTTCCCAGTTGAATAAATTCGTCACAGCAGTCCTTTGTCGCTTTAGAAAACTTGTCGTCTTCCATACACTTTCTGTAATTTTTGTGTTGTCGGATTACAGAAAATGTATGGAAGAACTCAGGCAACGAAGGACTGCTAAACACTCCAGATTTAGCGGGTAGTTTCTTTAAGCTCATTAGTTACATTTTTCAAAGGGAAAGTGACAAATATGTTTTTCCACCATCTTTTCCCGATTATCCAGCATGCCCCACAACCGTAAAGGGGTCTATTGGTCGTCAAATCCTCGGATTAATTGACACATTGACTGTTATTAAGCAAACAGGACCCAAAATACCGTTCTCTGGCAGTGAAAAACCACATCATTAAGAAAAGCAGTAAACGATTTATAAAAGACGTGTTTAAAAACAAATCTAGTTGCGCCACATGATTATTTACAAAAATGTTCGAAAACTATTACTTACTTAATTCACTTTTGTTGGAAAAATGTAGTGTTGCCTAAACGTACGAAGAGCGGGGTTTTAATCTCGACGCTACCGAGAAACCATGACGAGAAAAAAAAAGGATCGTTTCTCAGCTATCCCTTCAATTCTTCAGCTCCATTCAGGTTGACGAATGGTAAAGAGGTTCTTGCCAACAAAGCAGCCAACTTTCGCGCCATGTAAGGGAATCCTAATTGCGGAATCCGGGGAATTTTTGGAATCCTGGTTTTTGCAATCCGGAATACAACTCAAGGAATCCGGAATCCACTAACGATTAGAATCCAGAATCCAAGTTTCACTGACAAAGATCATGGAATCCGGAACCTGGAATTCGTAATCCGCGGAGTGGAATCCAGAATCCAAGACTGTCTTGAATTCCCTTTCATGGGGCGACAATTTTGTTTCTTTAACTTAACTTATTACATTTCTAACAAAAAAAAAAGCTGGATCTAACTGCAAACACCGCAAAGCTTTCTGGGCCCGAAAACGTCTCAAGATAATATTTTAACATGGAGACTGTTTTCTTATTGAGTTTTCTATTTACAGGTCATTGCAGAAATAAATAAGCGATAAATATCTCCAGCACTTTCGGTGATTTACCCCTGTCGTTCTACCATCAACGGCTTCATATTAGTTGGTTTGGTTGAAGTTCTAAATGGCACCACTTTTTAAAATAGTTTTAGCCTGAAACGCTTTTGTGAATGGGCATAATTAGCCTCAGTTACCCAAAACGCAAGTCACAACTTCACGGTCAACAGTAATGAACCAAAATCGTTTCCAGCTCAGTGATGTGTAAGTGAGCGCTCAACTGAGATATGACTGACATGATCAAGAGTTGATAAACCAAATCTACCAAAAACGTTTTACACTGACTAGTACAAAAAGAAAACGACAACCAATCTAACCAAACCTAAAATTTCGTTGCCAGTAGAACTCGAAAAATTCTACCAGGTTACAATTGTCTTCAAAAATGTTCTAACCTATAGACTAGTGAGGTTTATGGTGTTTTCTGTGCAAAAAGTAGAAAAATACTTTAATCGAGACAAATAATTTAGTACAAACACGAATATTGGTATGTAAAAAAAGGAGGATGAATAAGAAAAACAAAAAAACTCTTTCGTTTAGACATTGACTCGAAAACAGACTGAACAGGGTCGTCTTAATAGCGGATTAGTGACACAGTGAATTCGGCCATAGAGCCACACTTTAACAGCCTTCTGAAGACTTCGGTTATAAACAAAGTACGGACCAACTGAACAATTACAGACCACCTACCCCTCCCCTAAGTCAACAATAACACTTACTTCTAGCGTGGGGAAAAATTGTGACTAAGGGGAGGGGTAGGTGGTCAGTTACTGCAAGAGACACCTCTCTCATAGGATGGCCGTGACTATATAGCAGGATATAGGATCCTAAACAGATTGCTCTAAGAAGTGTCTGTTACTATCCATACCCTACCCTACCCTACACTACCTCCCTCCCAAGTAATAAAAAAAATTATGACTGACGTGATAAGCGAAATAATAGGGTGCTTACGTAACAACGTTTTTGAGTGACGGACGTCTACCGGAAGTGGACGTTTTGCATCATTGGGCAGTGGTTTGGTTCAAACGCTCGGGTAAATCGTCTTTACAAGAGAAAAGAAACTTAGCAATACAAATTTGTGAGCGTCAAGGCATATAAAAAGGGAGAAGGCCTCACTTCCGGTTGACGTCGTTTGGAGCTTAAGCAACAGCGTTTTTGAGCGACGGACGTCAACCGGAAGTGCATCATTGAGCAGTGGCTTGGTTCAAACTCTCGGTTATATCGTCTTTATAAGAGAAAATAAACTTAGCAATACAAATGTGTTAGCTTCAAGGCATATATATAGTGAGAAGGCCTCACTTCCGGTTGACGTATGTCCTTCAAAAACGTCTTTGCTCAAGGTCCCTAATAGTAGCCGTCATTCATCTAGCTGCTTTAATCCAGTATGAACGTTGAAGTGAATTCTAAAGTTCGCTATGTCGTGCCCAAGCCCCTACACTTCTTCTCTTCCGCCTGTTGTTCGGGTACGTAATCACAAAGCGATTCTTATCAACAGAGCTCTGTAGAAGAAAAAAGAGGAAAAATTCTTGCGCTTCAGCCATTAAGTGAGTTGAGTATTAACAAAGTGATTCAGGTCAATATTCGCAATTTGCACATCTCTCACAATACAATTTGTTTGGTCCCCGCCCCCCACCACCCCCCCCCCCCCAAAAAAAAAAAAAAAAAAAAAAAAAAAAAACATAACTTTAAAATATAAAAAAATCGAAAAAACAAAAAAAAAAAAAATTTGGGTGGAAAAAAAAGTTTAGATTTGGGGAGGGTACAAAGGGGGAAGAAAAAAAAGTGGGAGTTTTTAATACCGCTTTATTATTGGAGGTGCATGCACGATTGAATTGATATATTTAAATTCCAAAGGTCCCTATGTCCCGCCCAAACCCCCAACCCTCTTCTCTTCCGCCTGTTGTTGGGGGAAGTAAACAAAAAGCGATTTTTATCAAACGAGCTCTGTAGAAGAAAAAAGAGGAAAAATTCTTGCGCTTCAGGCATTTAGTGAGTTGGGTATTAAAAAAGGGATTCCGGTCAAAATTCCCAATTTGCCCCCCCCCCCCAAAACAAATTGTTTTGGCCCCCCCCCCCCCCCCCCCCCCCCCCCAAAAAAAAAAAAAAGAAAAAAAAGAATAAACATTGCCTTCAATCATGTAATACCGCCAAATACCCAGGAAAAAAAACTTTGGGGAGGCAAACAAGTTGTAGTTATGGGAGATGTACAAATGGTGAATTAAAAAGAGTGGATGTTTACATACCGAGACAAGAGTGGGACCGCCGACAAGGTTACCATGGTAATTGTTTCCACCTTGATCTAGTATGATTGTACCGGATGTATCCTCCATATTAAAGTGAGCCCGCACCACACGCTTGTGAATGGGTAACAGAAGACCAGCAGTCTTCATGTAGTTCACGATCTCACCATCCTCCACACGGACTCCCCATAATGTAAGCTTTGAAAAGAGAGACGGTGAAATATCTCATTTTAGACATAATACTGTAAATTATCATTCATTATAAAATAACTCTCCGTCTCTGATTGGCTATTTCTTTTAGCCAGCTAGCGTTGACAAAATTCGAGGACGTTTACGATATCCGGCAAAATGGCGTTAATACAGTAAACACCTGCCAATAAGAACCGGTGGATTAAGAAGCTCCTGGCAGAACCTGCCGCTTTAATACCCAAAAATATAAGAACCTGTTTAGCCTAGCAAGATCGAGCATGGTTCTTATAATATGTGGATTACATTTAAATTATGATAAACAACAGTGTAAAATTGTGAAGGAATCAAAGTTTATCTATTTTTTGGTAATCAACAATCTAATATCTCCTTCATAAAAAGTAAGAGCCTACTCAGGCTAAATTGCCAATGAGTACCCCAAAATAAAACAACCTACTTTACCTGACTCAGACGCCCCCCCCGTAATAAGCAAAACAAAGACGGAAGGTTTTTAACTTGTTGCAAATCACCAGACTACAATTATTGTCAAGTGTTGGGAAGGCTGCTACTTTTTCCCTCTATTTTCCTTCTTCCCCCCATTCCTGGCCCAATAAAAACATGAACGTTTGTGCGCGTAATTTATTTGTTATATCCCAATATTGAAGGGGATTATTACATGAGCTCCCTCCCTAACCTAAGACTATAAATATATAATAAAGAAGCGGCGAATTCATGTTGACTACGAAATCGTACCTCATCTACCGTTCCATTCATATAATTCCCATTGTCACGTCCCACGTACAGAGCCACATCAGGAGCCTGGATGCGTATTAAGAGATTGACAAGAAATTGGCTTACGGAAAAATCCACTGAGACACAAAGGGCATGAAAACTATATGCTGCACACTTTGCAATCCTTTTATCGTTTGGAGGAAAACTCAACAAGAATTTCATTTAGTCGAATTAACATTTTAAAACTCAACATTCATTGCAATGGACACTATAGAATTTATGACTTCATTTCAATAGCCACAAAACGGACACACTATATAGTCTACGACGTCATTTTAATAGCCACTATAGCATTTGAATTTATAAACTATGACGTATCTCCAATGACCACATAATAAAGTCTGTGACGTAATTTCAATTTCCACAATACTTCATTCTCACGGACTCAACTTATAGACTACGTCATTTCAAAGTCTACATTAGAAAGACAAGGAGGTTCAATCACACGTTGATAAACGGTAAGTGATAAAACAGAGAGCGGACATACCCAGTTATGTGGCAACACATTGCTCTGTACCCCAACAGACGAACCGTTTACAAAAAGTTCAAGGCTGTAGGCTGCAAAGAAATCAAAGAGAAAAAAAAAAAAAAAAAAAGAAAAGGGAAAAAATTTAGTCTCTCTTTGTCGATTGGAGGCGTGATGGCTGACTAGTTTACACCTTGAACTTTGGCCCTAGAGCTCCAGGTTCAAGCATTGCCGTCACGCTGTTTATCCTTTCACCCGGGTGTAAATTTTTTTTATTTATTTCGTCACCTTATTATAACATAGAAATAGATTACAAGAATCGTTACGAAATGGCAGGAAAGCCCAAAGAAACCATGAGGCTTATACAACGTGGGCTTTCCCTACAAATGGCTACCGGCGATATACTGTCGGGGGTAAACCTGCGATAGACTAGCACCCACTCAGGGTGGGGGAGGGCGAGCTATACTCCTAGGTGTTTCATGTATATAGACCGGAGATATGTGCCGGTCCTGTGGGCCTCATAGCTCATGTGCGCTTTTTTCTGCCTCACAGTTTCAGTATTAAGATTTCACGTTACAGTTAGGGTCTTCATCTTTGTAACTTGCTCAATGCTTACTGTCACTAACATTAAAAAGTAGATCGATCGTTCATTCGGTCCAGAAATGAAGTTCAACAATTCGGTCACTTTCTTGTTCCGTCCGTCAGTCAGTCAGTCAGTCAGACGGACGTTCGTTAGATCAATCAGTCAGGTCTTCTATACATTCTCTTGACTTGATCCTTCGTTCGTTCACTAAGACAGTCAATTAGTCAGTCAGCCCGCCAGTCTGTAAATCAGTCAGTTTGTTTACTTACTCTGAGCGTCGTATCTATACACCAGGTGATGCCATTCTGCAGGTTCGATTATTTCAGACCCTACAGCCACAGAAGAACCCAGGTTACCATGAATTTGCCTAGGAAAAAAATAACGGTCAACTGGTCACATCGATTGAAAATTGACGTGCGCACTCAATCTGGAGCGTTAACGAAGGGAGGGAAGTAGCTGTTTTCAGCTGATTTGAGAAGTCAAAGCTAAATCCATATTAAAACTCTTTCTGGTTAACCACTAGCAATGATAATGAGAATACTGTGATTAGCTGCAGTTGATATCCAACGTATATCAACATACCTGTCCTTCAGGTAAAGGCAGAGTGTTGTATCCAGGCTGCATACAATAGGCATGACTGCGTTGGGATAATCCGCTGCCATCCATACCCAAGCACTGATGGTAAAACTGAAACAAACGGTCGGTTTAGCTGATATTGTAGCACTACAACATCACAACGTCAAAATCAGTCACCTAATCGTGCGAGATAACGTATAGCCTCCCACGCAGACATTCTTAGGGCTTTCTGGTCACGCGTGCCTTCCCCACGAACGACGCCCGTTGGGGAGTATTGCGTGACGAGCTAAAAGAACCTTTTTCGTGGGAGGCTATATAACGTGACGATTTACATGGAACTCTTTACCTCATTTAGTCGTCACCGCAAGCTGCTTATTTTTCCAGCCATTTTTGAGGGAAGTTTAAATTATGCAAAACGTGAGTGTGCCTATTTATTGACAGGGCTCTTTTAACGATTGTAAATGCAAGCTAAGTGGATACCCATGCTTGACAATTGCATAAAATTAAACCTCAATAGTTCCCTTGTCACATCTCCAACAGAATTCACAACTAAGTACCTGTCTGTTAGACCAAGTGTATGAATAGGAGGCAGCAACACGTGATCATCAACGCCGTCAAACTGTAATGCTTGATTAGCCCTAATGGAAAGACAAAGATGGAGCCGATTAAACCTTTTATTCCCGAGTATGGAATTTCTGCGCTCGTCCCTTTGACGCCATTTCGCGGGGAATCCAGAGGTGGCGTCGCTAAATATCGGCTGTTTTCTTAGGCTATGAAGGTGCTGGTCACCTGGTATTGAACTAACCTGTCCGAGCATCTGGCCTCAAGGCGAGACCAGATAACGTCCTGCTGTCCAAACACCATCATACCGAGGCGGCCACCAGTGATGGTAGTATCATAGATGTCTCCGGAATCCGCCAATACTGTCAGACCCTGCTTCACTCGCACTCTGCAGTAAAAAAGGACAAACATAAGAGTAAGAGCTCACAATTTAGAAATATATGAAGGCAGATATAGCGTGTATCACCGGCAACGAAAAAATTCCTGATGAAAATAATAAAAGCTGTGAGCAACCGGGTCAATGAAGTCGATTGCGAACTTGTTACATATTAAAACAGTCGGCTTGTCTGACACTATTGACAATTCATACCTTATTAGACCGATGGAAGGTCTGTGAGTGATGTGGAAAGCATAAGGAGTCTGAAATTTCCAACCCTCCATCTTAGGATCACACCAGAGTAGCTTTACCTGTAGAAGAATACAAAAGTCACAATATATGACTGGTGTTACTGCTCGCTTATGTAATAAACTAAAGGGGAGGAGAGGGCGGGGATATAACTATGCTACTGACCAAGTTGGAAGTATCGCCAGAATGCCAAATTGCTTGTGCCAAGCCGACTCCAGGTGCTTGATTGGAATCGACAAGCTGTAAAATTAAGAAAGCAACAGTTTATGAGGACAAAGACCACTACAAAAATCACATTAAGCTAAAGTCGGCACATCGGTTAGCGAATGATTGTCGAAATTTGCTTTAAACAAACAAAAGAAATGTGGAAAAAAATTCATTCGACCAGAGTAAGATGTATAATGCTTAGACCCCTTTGGTTTCTTACCATCTTGTCTAACCCTAACAGTTATAAATAACCAAAAATTTTGAAACAAACGAAAGTTACATGTCTCCGACTCCCTTGCCGTCCCTTACTGAGTTCCCCGACCCTACCCTCAAGGTCTGTAGGGACGGACTGTGTATGCTGACGTCAAAGCAAATTCTCTGGATTTTACCGATAGACTTCCAATTTCTAAACACACAGCTTACCTTTAGCTGCAGACCCTTAATTCCTGAGTTAACATTGGAACTCTCAAAGTTGCTGTTCTCTTTTCTCCACATTACAACGTAAAACTTTCGGTTTGATTGATAACCAAACACAACGCCTACATAGTCTGATCCTTCGCTACCCTTTACATATATTGCACCACTGTAGTCCACAGGTCCGTATCGAGGTGAACCTGCAGGATACTAAACATTAGCACAGTCAAACCGCGTTAACATGGATCCTGAGGGCGCTTAAGAGATTGTCCGTATCAACGAAGTTTCCGTATTAAGCGGGTCATGTTATTGAAGGCAAAAGTACACCTTTTATGTTAACAAAATATTGAAGAAATAAGACATGCAAGGCATTAGCATCGTCAAGTTAACAAACCGTCATTCCACGGCCTATGTCCATCGAGGGAGGCAATTAATCGAGGGACGGCTGTTATTGAAGGAAATATTGTATCCGATATGTGACTCTCTATTTTCGAGATAAGCGCGACGCAGCTTCGCTTCCTCACAGAAATCGCGCTGAAATCACCGTTCTTTTGTGTGAAGAGAAGGCCTATCGCGTATGGTCTTAGTGCCAGCGCAAAAGATATCCGATATACTGTGAACATAGCCAATAAAAAGGGAAAGAGCTTTCCCCAGGGAGAAATAAAACCCTCCGTAATAATGAGGTGTCCGTTTTAAGCAGGTGTCTGTGAAGCGGGTTCGACTGCAAAGCGATTTCACAAAGATTCTTATACATGGCAATAGATCATTATATTCAGCCCCTTAGATGATAATGGAAACTCTTTCAATCTTCAGTAGCTGTGAGAGTGTATTCACGGGTAACAGTTTTCCCCTGTTCGTTCCGGAGGAGCTTGTTTATTTTCACGCTAGTTCGGCTAGGCAATCTCTTATTAAATACAATGTTAAACCTCTTTATAGAGATACCAAAAGATCATACGAACCGATCAGCATTGAGGGGTGTTTGGAAGAGGTATTGGTTACTTCCTCAACATCAATACCCTGTTGGCATTAAAACCATAAAAAATAGTAACAATGGTCAGTATACAAAATCACGTAAAATCGTCGTACAAGTGTGGCAAATAAATCATGTGAATCCGAAACCTTCTTTGGCCTTAAAAGGTCGAAGGGGAGCTAAACAAAACATCTAATAGATCCAACAAGTCCTCATTAGACAGACGAAAGTGCAACAGAAATAAAAGGAACGACGAAGTGTATAAAATAAAGAAAGAGAGAACTAATTTCTTGAAATCTCAGGCACCTGAGGGTTTATTGTAAATGAGTTGAGTATTAATCAAGATTATAATAATCGTTTTTTTGCGATATGTTATCTTTTGCTTGTGCAAATTATACTTCTTCAAAAGGGGTGTTAATTGAAGACTCCATTATTCCTGTCTACTTTTCCCGCATCCCTAAGTCAGACTAATAGTATGCTCATTTGCTGATAAGAAGAATTCGAGATATCCATACAGCGTGCTTCGTTGGTAAGATATTTTATCCTAAAGATAAGGGCCTGTTTCATGGAGGTGGGGGACCCCAGGTAGGTGAGGTAACATGTGGCGGGTTACCTCACCTATCATGTAAACGTGATCAAATTAAAATGAGAGATTATATGGACAGGCGGGTTACCCCCCCCTAAGCGGGTTACCTCACCTACCTGGGATCCCACACCTCCATGTGGACAGGCCCTAAGAGAGTGGGAAGGAAAACAGTCTGTGGTAGAGCTATTAGGAAAGTTATCAAAACAACTCCAAGACTTACATTTTTAGCAACTTGCCAGACGGGTAATGGATCGCTGTGTCCGGGATACAAATCAACTGTAAAGTGATCGGTGAAGCTGGTTTTGCTGAGATGTCTTACATAAGGACAATGATCACTATCATCAGCAACTCCGTCACCGTCAAAATCAGATATACAAACATCACCAACTGGGTTTGCTGCAAGACAAAACAACAAAACTTTAATTTCGCACTTCTCAGCACATTAGTTCCAGTGAAATTTATTGTAGTTGTGAATCATTAACAACTTGACCGAAGACAGTAAATCGAAATCAATAGAGAGATTTAGAACTACGTTTAGGGCAAACATCAGAATTTAGTCACTGTTAAGTTGACATTCCCTCAAAATAGGAAATTAGCAAATGCTGAAAAACATGTCGTTTACTCTTCGCAAAAATGTGAAGTTGAATGCCGCTTTCATCCATGAGATAAAAGTTATTTGGGACAGTTTTTAATCTCCTCAATTCCACAACCGAGAAATTACCATCAGCGTTTATTGGGGGGCGTAAACAAGCCAACTACGCGAATGATAGCGACGCGAACGACTCCGCGCATAAATCGAGCCAAAAAGAAACCTCTGCTCGCAAGGTACAAATTCAAAGTCCACGGTATTAATTCCGTGCGCGTTGGGGCAATTCGGGAAAACCAGCCTGTGCACGCTTTGTACAAATCATATGTGAAACTCCGAGATGAAAAATTCTATTGGAAAAGGTGAGCTCGATTCGCGCTGGTCACCTGTAATTGAAATAGGAAGTGTGAAACAGTCATGATCTCCGGTCTAAATCAAAGCAGGTCCTAGAACGGGGCAACGAAAGCAAGTGCAACTATTCCAATTAAATATTTTGGTTGGAAATTTGCCTTCTCTATACAACACACATGTCTTAAGTTAGATATCATAAATAAACCTAAGCAATTAAAGATTGACTAATTAGTGAATTTACCTTTGGCATCGTAAGCCAGGTTGACATGTTCTTGACCTGAGTTGTTTACTAAACGGCAATTATCATCAATATTGGAGACACCATCACCATCTTGATCATCATCACAAGCATCTCCTACAAGTAACCACATCAATAAAATATGAAGGATGGTTTTGTCAAGACGGCGTAAATTACCCTAACCTTTGCTTCCAACCTGAGGAGCGCACAAGATCAACAGTTGAAAGTTATCTTACCATCATTTTCTGAAAACCAATTGGTACCATCCGAAACTACTGCTGAAGAGATTGCATTTGAATGTTCAAAGCCACCCACATTCATACAAATGTAAGTGAGACCTTTCTTCCAGACCCACAAGTGAACTCACAACTGGGACTTCACAGTTGTTTCTATTGACTCTGACAATGCAATGGTTATAAGTAAGGGTGTAAGAGGATATTTTCTTTTTTGCTACGAATCAGAGGGCAGAATAGCCAGTTGGTTCCTATTATATATGCGATATTTACCGAGCGTGAGGTCAAGATGGGAACCTGGATATTAGCTAAATTTCGTGTTGGTCAATAAAAACGCAAAAAAGAACGAAGCTAGTATTCAGCCATCTCGACCGAAAAGGCTTGGTCAATAAGGAATTTATTATATGGCCAAAATATGAACTTTTTTTCTTGCTGGACCAACGCGGGAAATCCCGAGCGGGCAGGATGGGCCCATCTTGCCTGCTCGGGTAGCCAATCAGAACGCAGGATTCGCTTAATCTTGCACGCTCGCGGATTCAGCCACATAGTAAAGACAGTTCTTAATTTGACTAAATGAAAGACGTCATCGTTATCAGTTTATTTTTCATCTGAGTGCAGATTTTTCATCATGTTTTTCCTTTAGCCTCTTACCTATGTTATCGTTGTCAACATCTGCTTGTTCTCCATTTGGAAGATCAGGGCAGTTGTCATAATCATTTGGAACACCATCACCATCCCTAGGAACACCAAATCACCGTCACCTCAAAAAGGGTCGTTATTACCTGAATGGCTAATGCGCCATTCACACCAAGTAAACACTTTGAAGGGTACCTGGTGTTATGACTGTCTCTCTTCAAATATGTTAAGTTATTGACTCAATAATAAATAAACTGGAACTTTAGGGGACGGTTATTAAATCACTGGACTTCCAGATCTCTTCCTAAGTAGGTTATTTCAAGGAGACAAATGTTTCTCTAGACTACCCTGTATCCGTCCGTGAAACTGCTCATGATAAACGGTGTTAAGATAAAAGCGTCGGTCAAACCGAAACCTCCGTTGAACTAACCAACGTTAGGACTACAAATGTACGATGTATGACGAGATATTACCCCTGATACCTAATTTCCTTTGAATACTCTTACAACACTCACTTGTCTCTTCCAGGTCCGAAACAATCATCGCCGTATCCGCTGTCAAAGGTAGCAGTCTACAGGACAAATAATACATCAGTTAAGTCTGTCACAGCAAAGAGCTGTATCTAAACTGCAAAACAAGGAGGAGGGGGATCGGGGTGTTCCACCCTATTCCTACTTGCGTTATCTTGACATCCATCACAAAACGCCTGTAGTCATATAGAGTGTATTCACATGACGTCAAGGCGGCCATATTGGTGTTCCAAAACAATGAGACGGTGGCCATATTGCTGTTCCAAACAAATCCTGTGGGAGTTGGACTCTTCTTATGTAACAACCTTCTTTTGTTCCCATAGATTTTCATAGATGCTGGCCACGTGAGTGAATACGCCATATTAGAAATGAGCTTAAGTAATCAATGTCGACACTCTTGGTCTCTTATTTTGAACAACAACAACAACGACAACGACAAATCATTACATAAGGAAGTGGCATATGATCGTCCGAGTGAGTGTAGTCTTGAATAGGACTGCTGTTCACAGCGACTGACGTTTCGACCACCTGTGTGGAAGTCAACTTCCGAGTCAAAGTAAGTTGTATCACGTCAGTTGATGTATTAAACTCTTATATGATTTATTTCATATACATTTGTTATGAACTCTTATTATAGACCTGGTAAGTCAATTAAGTCGCGATGTTATTGGTTGTCTGTTAGTTAATGATGGTTATGAAGGCTCTAAATGTCATTGGTGCGTTTCGTCTTTTCAAACAGGTTAACTGTCGTTCGTTAATTTCTGACCTTACCTGACCGGAGTTGGGAGTCTTAGGGCAGTTGTCACAGGCATCACCAACATTGTCACCATCTGTATCAGCCTGGTCTGTATTAGCCACTTTAGGGCATTTATCTCCAGCATCGATTGCTACAAAATAGAATGCTCGCTACGTTAAACAAAGCTTCAATTCAGGCTTAATTGACCCCAACCGACCTAACGTGACACAGCCTTACTTTTTACATTGTATGACTCCGTTTTGCATAAAGAGAAAAAGAGAAAATGAATAGCATGAACCAGTCATCCTATAAAGGCAGGCCTACAACAAAGTGTGTAAGGTGATTATAGAAATGTAACTTCAAATAGGTCCTTTGTACTAGCAGTCACGTGGCCTTCGTAATATAAGAATTTGGAGATACAACCGACACAAGACCAGAGGTGGAAATAACATGATAAAATTAGCCAGAAAATAATCTTGTGGTAATGGACACAAAAACACAAGATATTATTAGTGCGCATTAGCTACGTACAGTCATCGTCGACATCTCCAGTAGGCTCACAGGCATCTCCTATGCCATCTCCATCACTGTCTAGTTGATCAGTGTTGGCCGTTGTGTTACAGTTGTCACATGCGTCACCCACCCCATCTCCATCCACGTCTGATTGATCCGTATTTTTTACAAAGTGACAGTTGTCCTACAAAGGAACGAGGGATTAAACTCGCGATGAGTTACGTCAAGAGATCATGATCTCTTGGTTTCGTTTATATTCTAATTGGAATTTTTTGAGAGGAACACATGACAAGAATAAAATATAAGGGACAATACTTTGCTTTGAGCTCTAATCAAATAACGGGTAAGTGACTATATATGTATTCAAATTAAGATATCGAACGACGACGGGAGGCTTTCTGCCGTCGTCGTTCGATATCTTAATTTGCCAATGCTTTCTGTCTACGACGCAGTGAAGTCCTTGCGTGATACTATATTTCATTTTAATATTAACGAAACACAAGGTAGTTTAGATTTATGCGTCCGTGAATGCAATCTTAATGCGAAATAATATACATAAAAACCTGGGCAAACCTTTCTTGACGGGATACTAAAATGACGGTTAATGAGCAGCACTTTTTTCATTTGGAATTTTCACCTTTGACTAAGGTGCCACAGTGCTAATGAAATTCTCCCACTTGCCAGGCACTTGTTGCGGTCGCCGTGTTAGGCAGTTGACGCGCCTTTTAATTCGCGACTGTTTAGTGAGGTGCAATTCAAGTAAATCCAATAATCTCACCGTTTTGTCAGATATCAAATCATTATCATCATCTTCATCACAAGCATCTCCAGCTGTGTCATTATCATGATCTTCCTGACCCGTATTAGGTACACCCAGACAATTATCCTGCAAACCGACAGATACCAGGAATTATCAACACGACGGGAAAGTAACATTGGGCACATTTAAGTATGAAATGTTGCCATCCTCTTTAACAACGTCTCTGCGCATTTTCCAAACCATTTGAAACTCTTTTCCGAAATGGATCTAGGTCATCTTTAATATAGCTCTTTTATCGCACAGAGAATCGTCGAGGATCCCAAACTGACAGTACTGTAGGACCCCAGTAGTGTAGGAGTTGCTCGGAAGGTCTCTCCTAATTGGTCGCAGGAAACAATGACATGTCATTCTTCCAATTGTTTTAGTGTTGTTTGGGGTCAGGAAAACGCACCATTGGTGGCTTCTGCTACATGACCACCCACATAGGGTTCTTCAATCCCGTCATCCCTTGCAAATTTTCGTGATGACTCGCGTCCCGATGTGCCAATTTTGCTTCAAAATCTCGAATCCCGAGCTTCATAAAAGGGAAATCCCGGATCCCGAAAAACCTACTGGGGACCCTGATCGTCGGCATGCGTCGCCCCTTCAAAATCTAGCAAGGTAGTAAAATGGATGTCGATTAAACCATTTCTACTGCCTACCTTAAAGCAATTTGGTAAGATACAGCTGAGACCAACGGATGGAATGCCGTCGAGGTCAGAATCGTCTCCGCACTCTTCTCCGTCGCCTCCATAACCATCTTTACACTACAAAGAAACAAGAGGTAGAGGTATTGTCAGTGGAATCCATTAAGAACCGTCAATTCGCCAAAAATGTATATATAAAGGAAAAATAAATAACATGAGGCAGAGGCGTACAGCTACATTTTGCCTGGTAGTACTTATCGGAGTAACATGAAAGGTAAAAGAAATAATGTTGTGTTTTACTATGGAAAGCAAAAAAGGTGTAAACAAACAAATCCGCAATAAATATAGCGGTCGAGTAGGATAATAAACGTTTGATATTTATTAGTACAAAAGACACATAAGGCGGCATCACTAATGTTCTCCCTAAGTTTTAGCTCAGCAGGTAAGAGACCATTCATGGCCAGTAAGACAAAAAACATGTGCCAGAGGTGCAGGGGACATGGCTTCGACCTCGCTGTGAAATTTAGGAGCTAAGTTCTCTGAAACGTCATTCCCTATTACGCAAATCAGCCGTTGTTATCTTCAGACAACAATTTAAAACGTTTGATACCAATAATGTCTTCAATGCTCTCTTTCCAAAATGCGTGGCCCCTTAAAAAGAAAAGCTGTGTATACTTTAGTACACTTCCACATATTCATTTATTACCTTAATCGGCTCGGATCACAACTTGCGTGCTTTTTAAAACAACTTATTTAATTTTAGTAAACCTTCAAGCGGTTGCAGGCGGTAAGAAGTGTTGCTTCAGACGGTAAATTTTACCGGTTACTGCCTGATAAGGTGAATACAGGCATGGTGAGGATTCTCCCTTCCCCTTCCTCGCGCGCCACGCGTGCCTCTCGCGCCCGAATTCTCTGTTTCCCATTCCCTTTTAACGCCTGCCACGCAGGCTAGTTTACGCCAGTAACGAGAAAAAGACTGAGTGAACGGAACAATGAAGGTCAACCATCGTAGGACGAACATGGTATGCAAAACGAAAGCACTTTTGGGCCCAAAACCCAAAATAATTGAGTAAAGAAGCTTTATAACTGTAAACAACCTAAACGGATATATATAAATATATTTTTACCGTGCACTTAAATCTTCCGGCGCCGGTTTGGGTGCACTGTGCATTCTCATGACAGGTGTGCGAACCATTGGTACAAAGGTCACCAGGATAACAGCCCGTGTAACCATCACCGATGAAACCCGGATGACACGCTCCACAAAGGAAACTTCCCTGTAGGGAGGCAAATAAAGAACCACCTCCTTTCAAACGTCAAAAATTAATGAACTAAGGAGGAAAATCTAACTAAGGCCTACTGGAAATATTAACAAAATGAACCAGACAGTCGTGGCACAGTCACTTTAAATGGCGCGGTCAATTGTGGGATTGAAGCCAAGCCGCAAAAGTGGGAGGTAAGTGCTCTCACAAAAGAACAATCCTTTCTTCTCTAAACCTAACAGATAGTGAAAACTTCATGCAGGTTCACGGTATATGTGTAAGAAAATTACTCTTATAGCGAAACAAAAAAAAAGCAGAAACTCACATTAGTATTGGTACACTGAGCATTAGGGTCACAGGTACTGTTTCCCTCTTTACACTCATCAATCTCTTGACAATCTTGTTTGGAGTTTTGGGCATCGTCCAGACCCACACCAGACGGAGCATTGCCACGGTACCCATCTGGACAAGCGGCGCACTGGTACCCAGGAACACGGTTCTCACACTTGTCAGCTTCATAGCACGGATTGGCCTGTGCGCACTGTGAAATGCAGTCACACATGATCTTAACCATTTTACCTTGAGTAAGTTTATGTCCACACTACAGTGGAAACTCTCCTAACGGACACTCTCGTAAGCGCACAGCTCTACTTATGGCCGCCTTCACAAAACCTCGTTTTTTTCAACTCCCATACAAAGTCTGTACTTTTACATTCTGCTAAGCGGCCAGCTCCGGTTACGAACACCTTTTTCGAGTCCCGAGGGCGTTTGTTTACGAGAGCTTTCACTGTAGTACGTTTAGGTTGGTAAAGGCATACAAACGCATCTGTTTTTATGGCAACACATGAACCACCGTAAAGTGACAGAATTAAACTTGTATCAGCGGACACTCTCGGGAACCTCGACAAAATCCGCTTAAAAAGGCTGGTCCGTTTAACCCCCCCCCCCCCCCCACACACAACAAAAAAAAAACAAGCCACAAAAACACAGAAAAACAAAAAAAAAAAGAGCCTCAGGTTGCTGAAAGCACGGCCTCAAAAATCAAAACACACTCACTTCATCTTCTACCTTCTCATCTGCTATCTTCTGCTTCCGTTTTCCATACCTTGCTCTTCTATTCGCTTCTGTTATCTATATGCGCGGTGATAGTAAATCTGTTGTTAGAGATTACGGGGGCTTTGGTAAAGAGTTTCTTCCTTTTTAGTAGTTTGTTGTGGTTAAAAAAAAATAACACACTTTTTTTATAAGAAAAAAAAAAAAACTAGGTAAAGAAAAAAGTAATATTTAACTGCAGCCCCACCTCGAGAAATTACAAAAAACACAAAAAAAAAATATGTATTCTTCCAACCCCCCCCCCCCCCCCCCACAAAAAAAATTATAGTTAGTACCGGTAATAAAAGCTGGCAAAAATAAAAGGCAGCGGTGCCGAATCTTATGCTGACAGCTCCCTAACAGTGCATAAGCTTTTCCTTCGTTCACACGTTGTGACTGCATATCCTTACAGACCCTTTCTATTGGTGAGTTCGTCTAACATGGTTGGAATGCATTTGAGCGTCGGGCATAATCATTGGCAAAAAGGCAAACAAAACTATAATAGACATTTGTCGGCCAACATAACTGATCCACGTCCTTAACAGTCTCGAAGAGTGAATTGGTCCATAAAGGGATAAACTATGTTTCCATGCGGACAGCGGTAAACGAATTAACCCGTGCGCATTAAAAAACCTAAAAGGACACGTGTGAATTGGTAAGTATTTAAGTCGATAAACTCTGACCACATATTCGTCAGCTACAACTACAGGTTGACAAAAAGAGTTTCCTTCCGCTGGTAACTAAACTCTGTTTTTTTTCTTCAAGAAAATATATACGAAATAATTGTATTGTTTTGTAAACAAATATGGCCGCCTTACCACGCGCTTGCAAACTAAGAATGTCTGGTTAGTCAAACATCGTTTTCGTATCCTACCTCATCAATGTCGTTGCAAGTGCGTCCGTCTCCCTCGTAACCTTTCGGACATGGGCCACATTGAGACTGACCAACACCAACATTTAGACAACTAACACCAGGGAAACAGGTGCCATTTGTTAGGCAAGGACCTACGGTATAAACATGTGTAAGGTTAGAAACGTGTGGTGTTGTGGAAAACATAAGAATGAATTTTTAGTGGCATTTCCTCCATAGAATAATATGTGAATATAGCCCCTACGAGCACTGAGTCAACACTGTTTCAAATACATTCGAATCGCTCTGAACGGACACCTCTATAGGATGAACACCTCTGTAAAACGGACACCTACAGTTGGTCTGTGCCATTCTTTACTTGCTTTATTGGACTCTCTATAAGACGAACATCACTCCTAAACAACACACACAGTGCCGGTCCACCGGTCCGTCTTAGAGAGAGGTGACTGTAGGACAGTAAATGAATGAATGAAAGTGAATGAATGAATGAATGAATGCATTAGAACCAAAGCTAAGCTGCACGGAATCAGTGACTGAGAACGTAAAAAAAAAAGGACAAAAAAAATACAAAAAGAAAGAAAAAGGAGAGACAACTAGGCTTAATTAAAAAAAAAAAAAGAAGGAAAGAAGGGTGATAGGAAAAGGTACGAAAGCTGTAGTAGAACGGAGTAAAAACAGTAGAAACTTTGCAATAGTACTAATTTGACACAAAACCAATTGGCTTGGAAGACAGAGGATGTTGCAAGTAGGTCCCTAGTGACATTTACAGTCTTACACATCGATACTCACAGTCCTCAGGTGCAAAACAGGTTTGGCACAGCGAACAATTCGGAAAAGCTTGATGTTGAGCCCACTCATTAGCAGGGCATGGTCGACAGCTTGTCTTCATGTAGGTGCTTGTGTAGCCATTAGGGCAACATTCACAAGTCTCTGCACGAGTTTGATTATTAAAACTTCCAGGAGGACAAAGTCTGCAAGGAAAACCTACAAGAAAGAACAAAGTCACATGCTCGTGTCATTGCGAATATCTTTCTTATTACCCAGGAAGTTTCCTATAGATTGCATGTTGAAGATCGTACGGTCATTGAGTGTGACAATTATCTTCAACGCTTGTAATTGTCTTTAATATGGCACGTACATGTATACATCGAGCAACAGAGCTATCCGTTGCTTAAGATCTTAACGGTACTAGCTTTTACAACTGTAATTTTCGCCTAAGTAGAGGACGCTACGGAAAATGACTAAACCTGCAAGCAAGTTCTCCATTTTGAGTGGTCAGCGAAGGGGTTCCGCGAGAAAATCGAGAATGGAGAACGTGCTCGCGGACTGGAAAGTGACTATTGATGTAATTTGGAATTGTTTGTTATGCTGTCAAAGATGTTTATAGTATTACAAATAAAAATTCAAAATGAAATCTGACCCTTTCTACAGAGCTGTTTACTCAGTCAGAGAACCACTTCTGTCTAAGCCGTCGAAAATTATCGTAATATACATTAACATATCTTAGACACAGCAACAGACCTTTTCCGTCACTGTATCGTCCTGCCGTACAATCCTGTTGCATTCCCTCAAAACATACTGTACCAGACTCGCAGTCAAAGCATTTCTCCGGGCACCACTGAAACAATTACAATCAGATGCACAAACGTATGGAAATTTTAGCAGCAGAAAATTAAGCTCATGTTTTCCCATAGAAGCAGTGGAACTGAAACGAGTTTTTTTTTCTTTTGTGCTTGAGGTAAGGCTCCCCTCGCATCACCTAACACAAATTCCTTAACAGTTATACGGGGAAGACCTGTATTATAGAAGGGTTGGAAGGTTGTATGAAAAAGGCATCATTAGGCTGTAACAAGAGCCATAATGGGATTATGGCTCTTGGCTGTAAATGAAACGAAAATGGCTTACAATGAATAAGGATTTTTGAGACTTTCTAGTCTCTGATAAATCTATGGCAAACTGATTACAGTCAATTTGATGGTTCCCAGTGAGAAAGAAGTTGGCGCTGACGGGAGAGTTTGTAAACATATCACGACATAACGCAATTTGTTGTTCAAAGAATGATAACCAACGTCTGGTACAGAGTCTAACTGCTAAGTAGCTATTCCAGCACAAACGTCAATACCAACCGTTTCATTGCACTTAACATATGTACTCTCTGGACAAGGTAGCGCAGTGCCATTCTTACAGAGCTAAAGAAGGAGAAAAAGAAAAATAAGCAAGGTCGAGGAAACTTCGCATCGGTGAACGTACACAATTCTAAACAATTATTGGATGAGGTTTTTGTGATATCCGGAATAATCAAGGTCGAGGTAAGTTCGGTTTCGGCTGATAACACTAACCGAGACCTTGATTATTCCGGATATCACAAAAACCGAATCTAATAATTGTTTTATTATACTTTATCTTCAAGTAATTTCTCAATTTCTTGCTGGGTCGATGAAGCGAATCGAAAAGCCATTCTTACTTCGCTGTCCGCGAACTTGACATTGCTACAACCTACAGATTATTCACTAATCTGTAGGTACAGATTAGTGAATAATCTGTAGGTTGCGCTGTTTCCCAGAATTAACTGTAGGTTTTTAGCCAATGAGAAGACAGATGGTGACTACAATGTATAATAATAGCAATAAAACGTTTCTGTGAAACTGTACGCTGAAATTACGAATTCAATTAAACATTAATCTTAGCATTACAAGAAACGTGTAAACATTCATGTTGTTGTGTTTGTTGTACATTTTTTTGTTTTCATTTTGGCTCTGGCGTTCTTGGTTCTTGTGAGCGAAACTCCACCATACGTTTTGTATTCAAAACAATTCTCCTATAACACAAAAAATAACTTCACCTACCCATCCCTCGGGACAAGCTGAACAGTTTGCAGCTGCTCCAAAAGAGAATTCAGTAGATGAACCTTCTCCGCATGGCTTCTCTGTACCATCGCCGGGACAAAAAAATCCCGTTCTACATCCGCGACATCTCGGTTTCGTGGTGGAATTTAACGCTGACAAAAGCAAAATGTCAGAAAAAATGTATCAAAACTAGCGTTGGGACTGGAATTGGCTGAGATTTTAAAATCGATTATTAGAAATAGTCGGATCGATTCATCGATTATAACCAGCAAATAATATTTCAAAGAATTCCAATGATTTTTCACCAGAGTGCAAGTCAAAGCAAAATAAACAAAAGGTTAGTTTTCACATAATAAACGAAATTAAATGTTAAGGACACAAAACGCCTTGACCTGACGACGCCACCCATTAGAGGGTAAAAGGTAAAGGCGCACACGAGCCAAAGGCCCAAACGGTCGGAGCTTATACCGATTTCCGTAGCACGAAGCACGCCTTGGAGTATTGCTACTCCCCCTCAGACGGGATGCTAGTCCATCGCAGGGTTGCCCCCAAGCAGTATGTCGCCGGTACCCATTTATACACCTGGGTGAAGAGAGGCAAAGTGGAGTAAAGTTCCTTGTCTACTGAAACAACCCGACGGGCGAGGCTTCAACCCCGGACCTTCAGATCCAGAGTTCGAGATGTTAACCGCTCGGCAAAACACGTTTCCACACCCATTAGAGAAGGCTTATAAAACGACACTGAAGACAGCACACAAATGTTAAGTTAATAATAATCCGTGATAATCGATGGAATATTTTTTATAATAATCTTAGGTCTTTGATCGAAGATCGATTATAATCGATAAATCGGCAACCCACTAATCGTATAAAAAGCAAGGCGATATTATCTTCGTGATCATTTTTCAATGTATAAAACACTATAAGGATAAGTTTAGCGAAAATGTTTGTGACAAGCGGGTGACAATAAAATAAAATGACAGAATGTTGAATTCAGAGTAAAGGAATCGTCAAATAATGGGTAACTATATATTATAGGATACAAGTGTCTTACGGTAAATGGAACCAGTGAGTCCTGGAGCCCTAAAAAAAACATCTCCAGTGACCGCATCAGCTACGATGGCTCCAGTGCTTTCACATGACACATCAAAAGTGATAGTAACAGAAATGCTGTCACCGCGCTTAGGTGAACCACCATCCACAGCAAAGATCAGGTACTTGTACGTCCACTTGACAGTTTTGTTACTCCAAACTACCTCACTGCCATTCTGGACATAGAACTTTCTGGAATTTATCGTTGGACTGTTGAAAAAGTAAACGACAAAAAATAAAACCACAACAGACCATTTTCGAGTTGTTCCCAGCCCTTGTTTTAAGGTAGGCGTGAGTTCGAAAATATTGAAAATATGGCTATGTCCACGATATACCGATAGGGCTTCTGTTTACACATAACAACGGTGATTTCGGCGCGATTTCTGTGACGGAGCAAACGTGCGCCGCGCTGATCTCTAAAGTGGAGAGTCACGTATTGAAAAGCCATCCGGTATAGTGCATTGGAGACCCAGGGGCAATCAGTCGGGTCGGCTGAGCTGGAACGCAATTCCCCACTCCAGAAACTATAAGGGAAATGGGTACAAGCTTTCGGCGCAACCACTGCTGGGATCGTTTGGGTGGACAAGCAATAGTTATGATTAGTCGATGGTACTCAAGGCAAAAATTAACCAATCACAAGTAACGCTAGTCCATCCAAACGATCCCGGAAATTTCCCGGAAATCGTTGGGCCGAGAGCTTGTACCCATTTCCCCCTCCCTCTGGATTCAACGTTCTGGATTCCAGAATGGAATGGAAAGGTAATGGATTCCGGATTCCTTGTCGGTGAAACTTGGATTCTGGGTTTAAATCTTTCGCGGGATTCTGGATTGCAAGGCCCAAGATTCTGGATTCCAAGGCCCATGATTCTGGATTCAACAAGCAAACATGCCAGGAATTCCGGAATCTGGATTACCTTACATGGGGGATACGTAGACACTGGAAGTAGAGCAGCCGATTACTTGAAAGAAAAATAAAGAGACATATCGTATTTACTCGAATGAGCGCCGCCCTCCTATAAGCGCCACATTTGACAGAAAAAGGTAATGAGCGCCACGGCCCATATATAATCAGAAAGACGTTAATCCTGTTAGGTTAATACGGAAAACAATCGCGTCCAACTTTCAAATCAATGCCGCCCTCGAATAAGCACTGCGGCGCTTACTCAATTAAATACCTTAATTCTCTGAAAATGTACTCACATTCTCTCTACCGGGCTGCTTGCCTGGTATCGGATCTGCCCATTCACACCACTGTCTTTGTCAGTGGCATAAGCAGTGAAAAACGCTGCAGTTTGGAGGGGTGGAATGGGCTCCAGGTCAAGGGCGATGTTCACATCTTGCAGGTACGGGCAGTTATCGTTATCATCATCAACGAACACCTACGATACATCAAAATAATTAGTAACTGAAAAAAATGTACCTCGATGAACTTGAATACGCTTTTTTCGCTGTATAAACAATACAGCGCACACACACAAAAAAAAAAACGTTTTTCCCACTGGACACTAGTAGCCTGCATTTACTGTTGTTCCAATTATAAGAGTTAAAGAGGAAGTTAAAGAGTACGAAGGCCTGAAACATGAAAAAGAGTCACGCTGGCGCCATATACAGAAACTTGAGACGGGGAGTGATTTGGTTTGGTTTGTATTTTCCCTCTACCTCTGTCTCCGAAAGACAGAACCAATTATTTTCAGCACGAAAGTTTCTCAGTGAAAATTTAAAAAAAAAAAAACAACACAATGACATATAGCTATACATCTGCTAATCAACACATGCTGCATGCTGCCATATGTTGAACGTTGAGAACGACAGTATAGACAGGAGCTTGACAGGCGCTTGACAGGCGCTACTCTGTTAACTATAATGATGACAAACTTGTTCTCTTCTCATTCAGCAAGCTGCAACTCCGCTCGCCGTTTCTTGAGTAAAGACTTATAGACACTGAACGACTTCGAGACCTGTGTCTCTAAACTGTTGTAAACTTTATCAAAAATGACTTCTTACCTTGATTGTAATGTTTCCTGTCCATCCTTTCGCAGTGTCGTTAATTCTCATATACAACGTATATCCTGCTGTCGCCTCATAGTCTAACAGGTTTTTAAGGGCAAGAGCAGCTGTGGTAGTATTTATAGAGGAAAATAATTGAATACCTGTAAACAGAACAAATGGAAACGAAAATGAAAAGCTTCAAAAAGGTTTTATTAGAAAAAAAATTCCATGACTTTTAAATGTTAACAAGTAACGTGCACGCTGAACGTGGCCACTAATGAAAGGATCGAGAGATACCTTGTATCCTCGTCATGTGATGACAAGGTTTTCTCTCTTTGCTATGCGATAAAATAACACTGTCTCCAGCTGAATATTAAATAGCCTCTTAACGGATGAATAAACACGTAACCCTCTGTTACACATGCAGCTTTATGTGCTCTATCAAAATGTTACGACTCCTGAATTTTTCAGGCTTTTCGCAACTGCATAATGTGCGCCTTTCACTGATGTTCTTTTAAAGCATTCAATGCTTTTAAGCAGAATTTTCCCAGATAATTGCAGCTGTTTACCTGGTGCAATAGTAGGTATTGGATCCACAGTGTCATTTGTGTCATTAGGACACAATACAATAGACTCTCCATCAAGGATGAAGGTGGGTGGGGCAGGAGTACTGGGAGCAGAAGGCGCAGAGTATGACCCACTTTCCACCTCAAACCGATCTTCCTGATTCCCTTCCAGGATCTCCACAGAGTAAGGCCCAGTTGAGAAAGCATCTGCCACATCAAATACCTACACCATACGATAACAAAATCCTCAGGAAGTTTCTAAATAATAGTTATGACAAACAGCTTACAAACTTTCCATAAAGTGTAAGCTGAAAGGCTTTTAAACAACTCTGTTTTGATACAAGTAACTACAAACAAAGTTTTCTCTACAACATCATAATAACGCTTACTAAAAAAATGACATATATATGTTACAGGTCACAATCAAATTCAGGTTAAAATTTTTTAACGTTTGTCTCTTCGTCCTAAATATTCACGAATTAGGGCTAGGAGACAAGGAAAATTAAGAATCATCCAAGGTTAAGAAATTTTAACCTGAATTCAATTTTGACCTGTAACATAAACAACTGAAAAAAAAAAGACAACAACAAGAAAAAAACAAACAAACAGATACCAAAAAACAAAAACAAAACAAACAACAACTAAATGAAGTGAGCCATTCAAAGCCTTGGAATCCTCATCCACATCCAAGCATAATCGAATTCCAAATACGAAGTTGAAGCCGATTAAAATCTTAACGCCGTTATTCAACTCAGTTATGTTTCTTAGTATAATTTCGTGTAAATAACTGTTTAAGAGACCGATACAGCCTTTCAACAAAACTGCCGCTAAACTCAATTATCTCGGAACAGGAATAATCAATTTACCTGAACGATGGATCCAACATGGATAGTCTCGTTTACAACAGCTACGTAATCAAGAGGACGGGCGTTATCCGTCAAAAATGATACACCACTGGCCTGGAACAATATATGCGAGTTGCATTTGTATCTCTCGGCTATAAATACATCCAAATGGTATGGCTCATTTTTCTGCAAAAAAAAAAAATAACAAGATGTAATGTAGAAGTTCAGGGTTGTCATTAAGAGCCGGGGGCCGGGGATTTTCCCCGGCTACAAAGAGAGTGGCCCCCAGCTACTTTTATTGGAAAATAGAAGAAAAATAGAACCACAAGAAATGCCTAGCCGTTTGATTCGCCGCCTACTTGTTGTATTTACCCGGCAACTTGAAATCTTAATGACAACCCTGTTAGAAGTGATATCAGAGGTATAAAATATTTCAAAAACATTCAAGGTGACCACACGACAACTTAGTTTAAAAGCAACAGAGCAAAAGAGATGAATAGACGTTTATTTAAGAAGAGTATGTTTTTAAAAAAGAATACAAATACTGTAACAAGTCGTATAAACTCTTTGTTTTGTAAAATAAAAGGACTGTAAAGTAACACCCCACCTCCCTTCCCCGCAGAGGTTTCTTTTTGTCATAGGGAGGCTGGGGAGAGGGAAAAATGGGAAGAGGAAAGAGAAGAAGGGAGGCTTCCGCCGTTTCTCTTTTCCCATCGTCCAATGCGTGCTTACTGTTTTTTAAATTATTGTCATTTTTATCGCAATAATCTGTCTGCCACAATGTGATGTGGCGCTTTCACCTTGGGAGATAAGCTAAAAGTCTTCCACCTTTGCAGCAGGTTCGAAAGCAATTTCAAATAAAAATTTGGAAGACCTTTCCAGGATATGACAATGTACATATTTCATTAACGATTATGTCCATAACTCCGGGACTTTTTGCGACCGGGAATCAGTCCAGTAATGAGCTAAAATAAAGCTGAAAACGAAGCCTATTACCCTTAGATATACGCTAACTATAACTTAAATTTCAAAAAAGGGGGTACGTAAGCTGTTATCTAGCAAAAAAAAGGGAAGAAGATGGAGATTAAGTTATTACCCTCAGAGTTAAGCTGACTGTCTCGGATGGTAGTGAACCAGAGACTTGACACTTTCCACCAACTACAGTTCCACCTTCAGGGACTATTGATCCACCCCCAGCTATATGAAGGAAACAAAAACATAACTGTTCAATGATGTCACAAACACAGGAAGCTATCTAGAGAAAATGCTTTATTCATCATAAATCGATCACTCTATCCATCAACTAATCGATCGATCAACTGACAGACTAATCAATCAAAAAAATCAATGCCTAAATAGAGTAGCTGATGAATGGGCTTGTTGCATCTGGTCAGTCCCGTTGCACAAAAACGCCCCACTGGCAATCAGGAAACTTTTTAGGAAGAGAGGAACAAAGAGCCTACATGATTTAAAACGAAAATAACAGCTTTAATTGACCAAAGCTCTTTCGACTTTGTCCAGTAACTTCGTTTTTGTACCAAGTGTCTGATCACTACAAAGTGCTCATAATTCAAACAATTGTTTAGTCAATCAATCATAATCCTTCAATCAATATATCAATACATCAACAATCAATAAATGAACCAATCAATCACCGACTATTCAATCAATAAATACAAACGGAACTAAGGAATCTCTTAGGTAATTTTGTCGCGGTGTACTCGGCCAGTTCTAAGTATGTCATTAAAAAAAAAACCACGAAACACGGAGAATATTATTGACGGACCATAAAAAGCAGTTATCTGATAATTAGATACGCTACGTGTCATACATTTTGCAATGAAATATGTGAAGTTGCAGCGTTCTCAGTTAAGGAGGTATAATTGAGCATAAAAAAGGCTTATTTAGGCGATAAAAATGTTTTCTGTTGGAGGAAATAAAATTTTAAAAAAAATTGTTTGAACGAAACAAACTAAACCACATTTTTAAACGGACTTTTTTTAGCCTTGCGAAAAGGACAAAACTTTCGCGAAAAAAACCCCACGGTTTTGACTCAATGCAATGCATACGTATGCAGCACGGCAATGCATGCATGCCGCACTGCAATCACTGCAGGCTGGAATAGAACTTACCAGCACCAGCTAAACTAACGGTACGACACGGAGAATTAGCGCTCGTTGGATCAGTAAATATTTGCACCACAAGTTTCTTGTCAATATAGACCCACAGCTCTTCACCACCAGAGAACGCAAACATCTCCGTGCCATTAAAGTTAAATGTTGTCCGCACAGCAGCAGTGAATCTAAAAACACAAATAAGAGGATCCGATTTTAACAAAAGAGACGGAATTTTTCCCCTACCGATCAAAGTCGCCTGGTACCCCTGGTGAGGTAGATTTATGGCCAGTTTCCTTGACGTGTTGGTTGAGTAGCAATTGAAAAAGTTAATACATGCATATCTAGATTGACACACCCGTATGTACACTTAGCGTTGTAACTGAAATTACACGGCACTACATCCAGGTCACTTAAATAATCCCGCGATTGTTTTCGTTCTTCGGGTGTCTTCCACTTACAAAACGTTTCGTCAAAATCCAGTTGAAAAGTAAACGGAACAAGACTTTCCGGGTCGCTCCAGTGAAAAACTTCCGGGAGTGAATCTTTCATTTTTCCAGTTGGAATGTTCAAAACGGAAATTCGTGCTCCACTTCTTAAAGCCTACCTTTGGTACCAGTTTCATACTTTCACAGCCTTTTTCAGGTCAATAAAATCTGATTTGTAAAAATGGTAAAGGCGATTTCTGCACGGTATTTACCATTGCTGAGGTTCGTTTACCATGAACAGCGGTTTGCCCAAGTAAATGGATAACCAACTTTCGTGAATTTGTAACATGTGCGCGATGTTAATAAACCTACCCATAATTCCGGAGTGCATTAGTATTGCAGTCTCTCTGACCCTGGGCTCCAAATCCACGGCCATCAACTGGAAAAAACTTGTCATTGTAATGCCGAAATACCGTATTACCATTCGAATCTGTCTCCAACTGCTTTTGTAATTCAAGTTTCTCCTGGTAATGCCGGTTTCTTAAAGAATCACTTCTAAACCATTGCGAGAAGCTGTCGGTTGTGGATGAGTTTGAGATGGCTAGCCAGCTGCCATAAGGACTGAGAATGTACTGAGGGTTCGAGTAGGTTGTGTTACTGAATGCGCCAAGCCCAGTGAAATCAATGTCCGAAAACCTGCAAAAAGGAAGGACAGCTTTCGCCCTGGGAATGCCTTAAACGGGCGCTAAAGATTGAATAGGTTATCTTCAGCCTTTTGACATGTTTTGAACTACAATAGAATCCCGAGTTTTGTAATATCCTAGTCCAGTTGTTCAAAGAATGGATAACGCTATCTAATGGATAAATCTCTATCTCTTTCTCTATCGAGAAAGCGGGATTTTATGGTGATATGTTACGCCATTACAATGATGTGTCACACAAAATCTGGATAATTAATCAATACAGAAAAACTAAATGCGCATTAGAATGTTGCACCAATTGATGGCATTAAGTAGGATGCTTCTTTACGTTTAACCTTACATGAAGGATGGAAACACTGAACATGGTTCGTACAACTTCAGACAAACCAATTTTAAGGACTTTTCAAGGATTTTTCAAGGACAAATTACAGTTTTCAAGGACTAAGATTTATTTAATAAATCGGCGTTCTTTAATCCCCTTTGATCATCCTATTGGCTAAAACACGTCATGGAGTCATTTACGATTTTTAGTTTTTCGACCATCATTGAGCACATTATTTTATACTACTTTCCGCAACAAGACTAGGCCAAATGACTGCAATTGCATCTGAGGCACAGAAATTGCATTTGAAATAAATAAACAGAAACAAAACATTTTTCATGCGCAAAAATGTTTTTACGTTACCCGTGAGTGTTGCAGGTTCTTACACCGAGGGTGAGCCAAATTTTCCTCGGCAAAATAATCTGGTTTTTTCTCGAAAAAGTTGTCTGGCGTAGACAAGGTTGTGAATTTCAAGGACTTTTCAAGAAAAATAAAGAAATCAAGTACATTTCAAGGACGTAAACCGAATTAAAGGACTTTTCAAGACCTTTTCAAGGTTGTACGAGCCATGACTGAACCATGAGAAAATTGAATAATGTATTACACGTTGCAACACAAATGAAGTCAGGTTGTACTGTAACTTACTGAAAATCGTAATAAGTAATATCCAGATAGTAGTTCGAACTGTTTAGCGTCGTGTTAGTGACAGCTATGAAAATATAAATACGTAAAAGGCATAGTTATTAGCAAGAGAGTCATTATCCTCTGCAACTACCAAACTACACTTTTAATTACTAAAACTACTATGGGCAAGGTCATTGTGTTTCTTTAAACAGTCCTGCATATTATTGTTTTAAATACATCATTCTCACAATCGTATCATTCTACTCTGCGTACCACAATTAACTTCGTTTACCTTTCTTTTCAAACTTAGTAGTACCAGAGCAGGGAAGGGAACATATTTTCGTTTTCACGAAACTATAACGTTTCTTGTAGTCCGTTTGTGCAATAATACAAGAATAAAGGGAATACTAATACAAAGAAACCAACATAAGATGAAATTAAGATGAACTCACCAAATTGGCCTGCGGCCAGGTGTATGGGTCTTCATAGCTCAGTTGGTAGAGCACTGCAGGGCCAACGCAGAGGCCACGGGTTCGAATCCCGTTGACGTCCCGCAAAAAAATATAATACTGAAAAATTATCAAGTGGTTTCAGGAAATACAAAAAAATATATTTTTTCCAGATTTCAGCTGTACGCACTAGCATATGTGCGAATATGGACGTTATGCTTTACGACGGTCAAATGTTGAATCTACAACAAATCTTACCCTTCTCCTCCAGCGTGGTGATGCTAACTTTTTCACTTATAGGGGTGGTCTGAGTTTCGATGAACCCTTGTCCCGCGGGATCGTCCGGTAATGTTGTCCCATTGTAGGCAGTAACCGTCATAGTCACGTGACACGTGTAGTCAATTCCGGCCCTGACACCGTCAGCTTGTGTGAACAGAATAAACTCATCTTGGGTTGAACCACTGAGAGATGGAGCATCAACACTGATACACGTGACATTGAAGAACACTGATGTAACCTGTGAGTACAAATCACGTCATAAATACTGAAATAGAGTCAATTGTCGACAAGGTACTGTTTCAATTTGAGAATTTTACAAACGTGAATTAGGGAATTTTTGTTGATTTGGATTTTTGGACTCTCTGTAGATCAATCTAGCAAGAAAATGGTGGTGTAATGTACGTCTGGTGTCCATATGTTCGCCAAGATAGCTGGAAATAGTCCAGCAAACGATCACGTGGAAACCAGCCTTTAAAAAAGCTGGTTTCTCAGCCAGTGCTATCGCAAACTGGATCGCAGTGATGTTTTTATCTGATAAATGATCAGCGATCTTCCCACAGGTTGCCCATGAAACTCGAACTGTACAATGGGAATATTTTGGGAGACGAATTTGGTCCCAGTTTCCCATACAACTGCAATTACTAAAAAAGAGATAGAGTCCCATAATGCAATTCGACACCACCGACACAGTGTCACATGCAACCTTAAAATGGCCGATTTCCGGTATGATATTCAAAAGCTATCCGCCGAAACAGAAAAAAAATCATTTTGCAATACAACGGATTTTGAATGAAAATAGACTGTTTCAGAATTTACATTTCTTTTTTGCTCTCAAACAAATCTTCGGATTTCGCATCACGCCCAACGGATGTTCGGGATCTTCTTGTCTTAAAATGCCAGATGAAAAGTGGTCTTCGTAGCTCAGTTGAGAGACCACTGCAGGGCTAACGCAGAGCTCATGGATTCGATTCCATTTGAAGCCCCGAATTTTTTTCGCGCTAATTTGCAATAGCCCTTTTTTAGCTTGTATGTTTTGTTATCTCACTTCAGACCACGTAATGGTACCCAAAAGAATTGTTTCTTTCAATATCTCTTTACGTACGTGTATCCAAGTGCATACGTATACATGCCTTCCGTCTGCTGTTAATAAAGGCATCTACTTTAAAATTCAAAAATTTGCAGCAGTGCTATCACAATAGGAGTGCTGACTACTGTTATAACTGAATAAATGCTCCTGCATTTCTCTTCACAAGTCCTATTTTGTAAGAGTTATCAACCAAGAGAATTGTTTTTTTCAAATATCTAGTTATGTACTTGCATCCACGTGCATATGTATGCATAACTTATGTAAAGATACAAGAAAAAGGCAAAGGCACAAGAAAAAACGGGTGCACGAGAACGCGTGTCTCCCTCGCGCGCGCCCGTTCTCTCTTTCACCCACTACTTCCAAGCGCCTGCTACGCAGGTTAATGTTAAGACAAAAGGTATTTTCCTGGAGAACATCACGTGGTCTGAATTGGGAAACAAAACATTCAAGCTAAAAACGTCTATTGCTCAAATTTCAATCACAACGGTGACGATCATATCTTCATTTAAAATTGTCTTGCCGCAATCAACATCAGCTACATTATAAATAACGACCACATAAGGACAAATATACTCGAAACAATGTCGGAAGACCTCAGCTGCATTAGGATTAACCTATATAAAGTACACGCTTATTTCCTTCTTGTAAAACTCTATAAAATTAAGAAGAAAGGAGACATACATTTGTAATATTCCAGGTGTCCACTAATGTTTGATTTGCATCGAGCACATAAGATGGGTAAAGCGATGCAGCTCGGTTCCATGACACTCGGAGTTGAAAATCCCCAGGGGTTGACGCGTTGATATTTATTGGTGCTAACAGGACAGAGCAAAAAAAAATACATACACCTGACTGGCTAGTAAAAAAGCAGAGAAAATATTGTAGGAGAGCTGAAAGAGTCAACTTTATCTTTAGGGACAATTTCCTAGAAAGAGTCAAACCTTCTTAATTCGGACACCAAAGGGAAAGAGCCAAGTGCCCGCTTAACACAGGTGGCCGTATTATACAGGGTGCTTGATTTTTAGACCACGAAGTCTCTCTTTCCTCTTAGTCTGTTGAGCAAAAACACGCGAGTCACGAAAATGACCAAGCGCGTGACTGAAGGGGCGAGACGAGAGAGGCATTCGTTTCCCACGTCTCGACGCTCGCGCGCGCTTGCACTACCCTCACTAAATCTGAGACTGCTCGCAGTCTACTTGATGGTATGAAGTTTGGCATCTTTGGCTGTCCGTTATGAAGAGGTGTCCGTACCCAGACAGCTGTCTTCGATAGACAGTGTCCGTAACAAAGAGGTGTTCTAACACAGAGGTGTAATAGTGTGCCTGCAAAAAGACAGGTCTCTGTGAGGTGTCCAAGTCAAAGACGCGTGCGTAACAAAGAGGAGTCTACACGAGGGAGTTCAAACCGAGAGGGCTGGCAACAAACCCATTTCTTATGGGATAAACAACACGAGACCCGGAAGGAGGAAACCGAGATTTACAAAATCCCCAAGTTTACGGTTTATCGGGCCGATATTGAACGAGATAGAGCCATTCAAAAACTCCAAAATTTACTGAGAAATGTATGGACGTCCGGAGGACGGTGTGGTGTCCGGAAATCCATACATTTCTTTGTAAATTTTTTAGTTTTTAAATAGCTGCATCTTGTCAAATATTGGCTCGATTATAACCCCAACTTTGAGAATTTTCCTATCCTCTATGTGCTCTTTCTGACCGTACGTGTCTGGTGTCCGATAATACACTGGCTCAAACCCAGCCCTCCTCGGTTTGAAATTAGGGAATGATAGAGCTGTCTCTAATAAGGAGATGTCTGTACTACAAAGGTGTCCATAATAGAATCCGTAATAGAAAGGTATATATGAGAGGTGTTTATAATAAAGACATCTCCATACCAGAGATGTCTGCAATTAATGGGTGTTTGCAGTAGAGACTGAGAGGTGTCCGTAATAAAGACATGTCCACACCAGAGGTGTCTGCAATTCATGGGTACTTGCAGTAGAGAGGTGTCCGTAATAAAGAGGTTTTCATAAACGAGTCCGTAACAGAGAGGGTTTCACATAAGACAGGTGTCCGTAATTGAAAATGTCCATAATAAAGACCATACTAGATGGGTGTCTGTAATAGAGAGTGTTTGCAGTAGAGAGGTGTCCGTAATAAAGAAGTGTCCAAAAAGGAGAGATGTCCGTAATGGAGAGGTGCCCCTATCAGAGAGGCGTCTGCAATAAAGAGTATTTGTAATAGAGAGTGTCCGTAATAAAAAGGAGTTGATCCGAAGAGGTGTCCGCAATAGAGTGTCCAAAAGGGGAGGTTTAACTGCGTAGACGTGACAATGCAGATACATACAGCATGTAAAATCTTGAACAGGATGATTTTCATAAGATCCTCCTGGATAAAACTGCACTGAGGCAACTCGCGGAGGGGAAGCACATACTGCAGCACTGCTCGATGACAGAGCATTGATAACAGATACCAGAGAATTGTATACATTACAGTCACAAGCTAATATATTGGTGCCACTGAAATCCCTACAAAATAAAGCAAAGATCTGAGTGAACAGTAATAAGAACATTCAGGGCGCTTTTGATTGCGATAAGCACATTTTTAACTCGTGGATTACGCGTAGCGAAAGGAACGAGTTATTGTGGGGCACTGCGTTATGCAAATGCATCACTCAGATGTAGACGCACTTCGTAATTATTCGGCTCGCACGAAAGTGCCCGATATCAAAACGACAATTGTCGTAGATCGATCGTTCCTAAACGAAGTGCGAAGAGCGTGCAATTGTGCCCAGAGCTTTCAATGTTATGATTTTGTAGCTTCCATAGGACGATAAGTTGTCTTCATGTGGACTTTGAATGTTACAAATTAGCCCTATGGCCAACTTTGAGACAGAAGTTTATGAACATTTGAAGTCTTTTGAAGTTTTTTAAAGCTTGTGTTTTTAATATTTTGTTTTTTTGTTTTGAGCGATTATTTTCACTCGATATATAATAGATACAGGCTTACGCTAAGGCCACAAAGCAGCCTGAAGTAGCCTGCGGACAGGCTCCCAGAACGGGGCGAAAAAGAAAATCGCCGGGCGAAGCGAGGAGCTGAACTCGAACGTGGGCTGGGCGACAAAAAAAAAAAAAGGGGGGGGGGGGGGGATTTTTAGTTTTTTTTGTTTTTTTATTTGTTTTGTTTTTTTTTTTTTTTTTTTTTTTTTTTGGTGATTTTTTTCACCCAAAAAAAAAAAAAAAAAAGCCTCCGAAAAAGGCCAAAAGAGGGCGGAAAGGACCCGGGGGGAGGGCCCCAAAAGGGGGGAAAAAAAAAAAGGGCGCGGGGGAGGGGGGGGGGAAAACCCAAGGGGGGGGGGGGGAAAAAAAAAAAAAAAAGGGGGGGGGGGGGGGGAGCCTGTAGACTTTGTTTTGATGCCACCCAACCATGATATCAGATTCTGGTATCATGATCTGATCGGTTAGATCGCTGACTGTTGACCCAGAGCACCCAGGCGTGCGCGCGAATGTTATTAAAGCTGATGCATTCAAGCATAAAAAGCATCATAATTTGACAGATCTTATTAATTTACTGTCATGTTATTGACACATGTGTTACATGATTATTGCAAGTGGGCGGATGGGCGGCATCAAAACAAAGTCTACAAGGCTAATCCGCCTTTTTTTCTCCAGACCACGTACGGCTCGCTTCGCTTGCCGATTTTCTCCACTTGGGAGCCTGTTCACAGGCTAAACCTGAGGTGGTAATTGAGATTTGCCTCCTCGTATATTTGTGAGTCTGTGTACTGTAATATCCACGCTATAGATACACAAGACTCCTGGTGGGTAACAATTTTATTTGAGCCTACATGAAATATAACTACCATCACCTTTGAGGTTATAGCTAGACGTTCTATTCTAGGTCTGGATTGGTATAAGAAACATTCATTGTTACTTACAATGAACTCAGGCTTGTAAGCCCACCGAAGCAATCTTGACCAATGTTTTCTATCTTGTTATTCCTCAGATTTCTAACAAAATGTTGAAAAAGACACTGACGTTAGCAGAGGGCTTTACTTTACTTTCTTTACCAGAGAAGTTAGCAATGTCCGGAACTGGGGCGCGCATTTGATTGTGTAATAGATCTAAGATCAGCTTACAGCCGTGAAATATTAGGATATAGATTCCGATGTAACCAAGAAAAGAGACGGATGCGATCACGTTGGAAAAGAACCGTGTAAGCCTTGTTAACCTTTTGTGAGTGACTAAACCCTAAAATCAGTGAAATGCTGTGAATACTGTCTCCTGCAGCCGGGGAAATTCCAGCATAGCAATATTTGATACTATTAAAGGTTAAGCCCACACCCGATTGCTAAATGAGAAAACTTCTAACAACTGATAACTTGTTTCCGTCACAACGACATTCTAGCAAAATCTCGTAGCAAAATGACGACGGCTATCATGTTTTCCCGCCAGAATGACGCTGGTCCACGCAAGCGCACTACTTAGTATTGAGAAAATCTCGTTCTCGTAGTCGTCCTCGTCTTAGAATCTAAAGGTCTATGGCAACTCAAAGTAAACTACAATATTTGTCACATCTGTTGTTACCGCGATACACAATACGCATTTAAAAAACATAAAATAAATTAAAAACAAAAGACACCAGGAATTCATCACAAATGTTGCGGTTCAATTTTATCCTTGGTTTAATTTTTCTTTCCCTTTGTCTTTGGGTATGGTAATGTATGATAATGAGTTTCAAACAAAAGAAAATAAAAATTGAACCAAGGATAAAATTGAACCACAACACAAACATAATAGAACAATTGAATGACGAAAACCAATTTTTTTAAAAAATATGAAATACTTACAGAGTAGTTAGTGTATTCAGAGACGAAAATGTTGGCAGGAAAACAATCTGATTATCATGTAAATAGCTGTACAAAAGATGAAATTCATTGATAAATGTTAGAAACAAAATTAGAAACATGCGATACAGTACAACGGACAGTACTCGCAAGGTGAGAGTTGTAAACTGTCTTGAATTGGACGACCCTAAACCTGTGAAATCTTGCGGTGTGACCATTCAAATAGGAACCTCTTGCCCAGCACCTTCACAAGGTGCTAATTGTTTCACCATTTTACAGCATGAAATTTGGAAATTTTGTCGGCAAATTTTCACGTTTGGCGCTTTAGGGGGTAAAAGGGTTGATCTGGAAAAAGCTGAAATACCACCATGTTACGAGCGAGTTAAAGCGAACCCATATCCGCCAAAAACGGGCGGGTTATCTTACCGCTCAGTTAAAGTGGGTACAAGGGCAAGTGCAAATGTTTACCACGTAGGTTTTCTTGTCGACATACTGTTTCCTAACGTTCTTAGGGGGTACACAATCGAGAATGGCGTCCGTTTTTCCTGAGGCGCAAATTTACTTGTTGCAATGGTATCATCGTTCTATTCGATGGCATAGAACTTTGTTGGGGATAAGAAGCGGTCTCCCCGTATTTAAAGTTATAATTGGGAGCCTAAGCAATGACGGCGGCGACGTCAAAGAGAAAGGCAAAAGAGCGATAGGTTTAGATTAGCAAAACAATACAGGCCTCCGTTTGCATGTGCAACACGCCCTTTTGTACACTTCTTTGCCGTCACTGCACAACTACCACTAGAAAGTGCCTAATTTTATGTTTTGTGAAGGACATGAACACACGACAATGACTTTCTTTTTCTTTTCTTGAACTTCGATACAGTCTTTTAGAATTCAACTCAAGAAAAAACTGCTAACGTTTGACGAATTGAACAAGATGGAATAAGCGCCATAAAATTTGCAACAGCGCGACTTCAACTTTTAAGTGTTGTTTTCGTAGCCGTCGCCGTCGTTGTTGCCTAAGCTGCTCTCTAATGTTATCACGGACGAACTTCGGCAAACGTCCTGCATTCTTCTAGGATTATATGGCCAACTAAGGAACATTTTTAAGTAAATGTTACATACATTTCTTGGATGCTTGCTAAATTATTAAATGCTCCATTCTGAACCTCTGCAATAAGGTTCTGTTTTAAGTTCCTATAAAGAAAATAATAACGTGAAAAATAAAATATAAAGTAATGTTCAATCAAAGTTCTGTTCATTTTTTGAATATTATAACAGTGAGTATGCCTAGGTCAAGTGACTGTGATTTTAAAAGAACGATTCTCTTATTTATCATATGACCTATACGGCCCCGTACGCAATTTCGGTGGAAAACCATGTGAAAAAATAGTCCCATATGTGGGCCGTAGGCGTCAAGTGAAAGGGCCGGAGAAACGCGTACGACCCTTCTAGAAAAATACGCGCGAAACGAGGCAAATGCTGCCATAAAGGCGTTTTCGCTCCGTCAGAAAAATTGAAAAACACAACGGTTGTATGATAAAATGCTTATTGACTGAGTTAGGTCGGACCAGACGGGAAATATTTGGCTCTCGGTCAGGACGTACAGCCTCGAACCAAATATTTTTCCGTGCGGCCCACCCACTCCGTCAATAAGTACGTTGTAACGACATTTTGAAGTCGGCAAGATACAAACTAGGCTAGCGAGGCAAAGGGATCGTAAAGCGCTCAAGGGACACAAATTGTCTCAATTTTTTTGTCGCTTCAACTAAGATTTATAATGAATTGTATCTTATCCTGTTATTAATTTGATTTCAGTTGACTACGTACGACGACAGTAGAGAACGGTCTAGTGCAAAATAGTTATCGTCAAGTGCGTGAGCCATGTGGTTAACTGTCATCTAAAATCAGGGGCATCTAAGGACTGTTTTCTGTAAAATACCAGTTCAGAGAAGCAAAATATTGCCTAGAAATTTCTATTAGTTGAGGACGGCTGAAAATTTCTCGGTGATGTTCCATTCATGTACAACTTTCGAAGCTTATGTGATAAATTCCCTACGGTTTCCTGAAGTTTAATTTTTTCACATTTCAACCCCAGGTTTGGCTTTTTTCGTAGAAAAAAGGAAACTTAAAATTTTCGGATTCAAAAATATGATGGAGAGGAAAACAGAAGAATTTAAATTTTTTTCAATTTCGTTAAATTGCATCTAAAATTTTCGGGACATAATAATGAAGCCCTCGTAATTTCGAAGATACAGATTTTTTTTAGCTCCGACTAGAATACATTTCTAGAGATCTTAAGTACTCCAGATGGGCTAAAAAGTGTTGTCAATGTATTTAGGAGGAAACCGTCGTTGGTTGCCCCTGCAAAATAGCCCTTCACTCATAGGAGCGAATCAGAAAAGACAAACATGACTCTTTCTGCATTTCCCTGTTCTTATTTTAATTTCCACGATGGAGGAGTTAAATTTAGTTTTTGCTTTAATTTATAATGTGCAGTCATCATTATATACGACCACATAATTATGGTACATAATCGTACATATTTTAAGAAAAATCAATACGTACAATGTTCTCAGGTTCGTCTGATGCTGAAACAAGTTGGTCCCAAGAAGTGTTATGTTATTTTGTCGAAGTCTTCTACAAAGAAAACGTCCAAAAATCATTTCTTTTTTTAATTTCTGATAAAAAAAAACTTAACAATAAGATGCATTGATATTCAAAACTCGTATGACACTTACAAGGTCTGTAGGCCTGTGAGAGTATCAAGGCTACCCAGCTGTATGGTTTCAATTTCGTTATTAGTCAGATTACTGAAAAAAAATCAAATAATCATACTCATAATCATATCCTCATCATAATAATAAATTAAAACTACCATCTCTTTTCAGCTTGTCCTAAGTACCTGTTTACAGAATTTAACAACAACAACAAAAAAAGAGATCACAGAAGGACAAAGCTACTTGGGTGCAAAGAAAGTATGGAGTTGACCGACGACACTTCTGCAAGAAATCTCTCAATTTTAAGACTAAAAAGCAGTCTATCATAAGTTTACATAACACACTACCGACATTAAGACACACCCAGCTACTGGCATTTCAAGCCATTGTTTTCACCAGATATTTCACTCTTTTCTGTTTTTTGACCAGCACATAAAGAGAACTAAGGAATGACAATGGAGCGACAAGACAAAATGTGAAGCAACGACCTGGTTTAAAAAATCGCTCTCTTACACAAATTCCAATCTAAAGGTTACTTGTACTGTATAAGAAAGAAACATACAAATCAGATAAATTTTTGGAGAAGCAATTTTCCCTCTGGTTTAAAGGTTCATGTATTAATTTCCTAGTTTCGAGGACTGCCGTGCTTGGCTTAATTTTCAAAGTCACTGTAAAAAAGGCACAATACTCACAGGCTAATAAGTGATGATTTCCCTTCCAACGGTTTTGAAGGAAATATAGGCAGTTTGTTGTTTACCAGTTCACTGTCAATGAAAAAGATATAAAGAAACAATTTAGTGAATAAATTTATGATCAACATGCCACTTAACCGCCAATGCTTAAGCTGCAATGGCCGTTTTCACACTAGACACGTATTATCCGTCTGAGACGGGTTATCCGTTGGAGAATTCGGGTCAGACAGATAATACGTCTTAATTTGAAAATGGAAAGGTTTCAATTTTGGATGAAGAATCCGTCTGAATTAATCCATCTGTTTATCCGTCAATTTCGACGGATTTTGAAGATGGATATCCGTTTCATTCAATAATTATTAAGTATTACTTAAGAATTTATACTCACATTTCATCCAAAGTAACTCCTCTTAAAGCATCGTCATGAATGGATTGTATTTGATTATTTGAAAAATTTCTAAAAGAGCAAAAAAAATGTAGTAAGTTGGGCAGCAATCTAAAATACCACTCCAGAGACCGGGGAGTCTCTTCTCTTTGCCGGAAGACACGTGACACATCAATGTTGCCGCTCCCAATCCCTTCTCCTCCTTCCTTCTCCTCCCCTCAAGAAAAAACCACCCTTAATCAGGTAAGTGAGTGGCTGTATACAGGCTGAATTTAAACTAAGTCAAATGCAAGTCAATGAAGAGGAAAAGACTCACACAATGAACGCAAATCAACTTTATCACAAACACCATCCTTGAAAAGTTGAAGGTTATATAAATGGTAAAAAAGACACAATTTATGAATGTTGATACCTGGCTCTCTTGCGAAATTTGTCAACGTAGTCAACGACTGTTTAAGCTTAAAATACCAAATTACATTCAAACCTCTATTAAACGGTCGCCACCACCACCACCACCAATAACTTTCTTGTGCTCTTGGTGCGAAAAATACAGGAAAGTCTTTTTAAGTTTAGTACTTTTCAATAAAGAGAGCTCAGCCACGTAAAAGTAGCAGATGCTATTTATCCACGAGAAACAGCCACGTGACGGCTTATAATAACCCCTCAAGTCCCGATATTAACGTACAAATTCTCCAGACTGATGTCAACAATATCATACATTTCCTTTAAAAAAATTAGTTGAGAGAATGTGATAAAAGATCCAAGCATCTTCCTTAAGTGATCATGTTATATCAATGTTGTATTAATTATCACAACATTTTCTCTTGATTATGTACTGATACCGTTAGGAGAACATTGATGTTGGTCACTCGTTGGACTAAAAGATCGTACTTACAGGTTTCCTACAGATGAACCAGAATCACCAAACAGCTTTCCTGTTATGGCTTGGATAGCATTATTATCAAGTTGCCTATTATCAATAAACAAAACAAATCAGTTCTTAATCAGTATTGCCGACGTGTGGAAAAACAATACGTGGCTATACCATAGTCATGGTTGTTTCACAGAACAAAATTTTCCGACTTTTCACTTGCTTACAGACGATTCCCCCCCCGCCCCCCCTTTTTACCTTTCCATTAACTTCTTTGCAAGCCATGAGTGATTTTCAGTTAAGTTTATTTTTTTGTGGTGTTTTGCGAGAGACGTATAAATGGATTTTTTTATGGGATTAACTACAGAATGTTATGGCAGAGAATTTTGTAACGCCAAAATCTTCAGGAAAAACACGGCGTTAACAAAACACATTTTTAAAATCCCGCCAAAACATACACAGCTCTTACACGATTACTGCACCATACGTCACGTGAATTACAATAATTACTTACAGGGGCACCCACGGGTAATCGCATTACCGCTAAAATATCTTTTCATAGTCTCCTAGAAACTTCGTGATAGAAAACTATCGCAAAAGCAGTCCTATAAAGCATTTCAAAACAACACCAACACAAACTGACGCTAAACCTCCAAATTGCCCATCCAAAACGGATGTATTATACGAAGAACAAGAGAGGATAAAGGGGCCAGAGAAGGCATCCCCTATACACACCCTATTCCATAGGTAATTCGTCTCGAGTTATTTTTAGAATCGGGATAAAGTTACCTCGCGCGCTGCGTGGATGTTTCGTGGAGGTTTCGCATGACTAAACGTCGTGCAAAACATGTCGGGCGAAAGGAAATGAAAGCGTAAAGAGATCGAGAGCATTTCTGAATATTGAAGCGAAATGAGTCGGCGCTCACCTGGGAAAAGGGAATCGCTGGACTCTTTGACAACCCGTGAAATCAGTTTAACTCGAAGTTGTCGTAACCTCAGTGCTTTAATAAAATGAGAAATTTCGCCGGTCTATTGAAACCGGTCGTTTGTACAATAAAGCAAGTAGGACGCCAAGTGTTATTTTTGTTGAAAAATAGAAGACTAATAAAAGAATAAATATCAAACCAGAAATTGCTCTCTTCAAACCGTAAATTATAAATGATCCTGAGAGAATATTCAGTGTGTTAAGGATTTCGCTGCTGTACTGTTAGCTCCATACAAGAGAGGAAGGGCCATTCTTTTTAATTTCCATTTCGCTGACTCCGCGTCTTCCGCCATTTTTTTCAGCGTCAATTCGTGAAGGACGCGTGGCTCTGAGCCTGGGTCATCCACGCAGAACACATTCACGCTAAGTGATTGGCTGTTGTCTAATCCCCCTTGGGATCTGTGGTCTTAAAAATAACTCGAGACGAATTACCTATGGAATAGGGTGTGTATGGGGGATGCCTTCTCTGTCCCCTTTATCCTCTCTTGACGAAGAACGAACATATCAAGAATCAAATTTCTAATAATTACCCAGAATTACTTACAATGACTGGGACACGGTGACCCTCAGAAAAGGAGTTTCTTGGAAAGTGACTATCTTGTTGTTCTGCAGCCTCCTACAAAAGAATCGTTTATTTGAAAAAAAAAATTGTACTGAAAATTCCTTACAAAGGAATGAACTGAAACTGAATAGCAATATCCGCTAATTCGCCATTTGCACATCTCCCACAATACACCTTGTTTGCCCCCCAAAACTTTGCATAGCATTGTCTTTGATTTCTCCTGGGTATTACAGTGGGCCCAAGAGAAATAAAAGACAATGCTTATGCAAAATTGTGGAGGACGAAAGGGCTATTACGGGAGATGTGCAAATGGCGAATGGCCCAGTTTCGAAATGCTAAGAGCCTCTTTGTCACAGCACGGGCTGTGGCACAACCATTCATGAGATTTACTTGTGAATGCGAACTTATCTTTTGTACTAAAGGATGCGAACCACAGCTTGCCTTTCAAAAGGGGGTAAAGGTTATTCGGGAGTGCCTATTAAAGAGAGTTTTCCTCTGGCAATTTTACGTTTGCTTCTGGGTGCCACACTTTATTCTTCCTATCCTAGGGGAGAGCTCTGGATCATAACACAGCGATCTAACTGACTTTAAACGCTTCGCTTTTCCCTTTCTCCTTCCATTTTCTGTTATTTTTGTTTCTTTTGCAAAAGCTGAAAAACTAGGAATATTTCTAAGCACCAGTGTTGCTTGCTCGACAGAATCGCCCATACTTTAGTAGGTTTGAGAGCACTTTGCGTCCTCTACAACTTGTACATGAAAGTAATCTCAAGAAATTAACCCGACAACGTCACAAGGGGGTGTTTGAGGGTGTTTAAGGCGTGTAAGTGTTCATCAGGTGACAAATATGAACTTTAAGACTTACAGATTCTTTGACGTAACATTCTTGAAAGTTTCCGAAACCAATGTTGTTAACTCCATATCGTTCAATTCACTATAACAAAAGTTAAATACTGTTATACAAAGTCAACGTTCACATAAACATGTCAAATTCCCAAACTAGGATTTTGCCTGTTTATTAGCCAAATAAGATCATGGCTATGGCAAGTTTTCTGGTCTTCCATTTCAAGAGGTCTATAAACGTTCACGAGATAAGCGATCTATTGTGTTACTCTCATACTCTCAAAGAACACATTTTTTTTTTCAAAACTAGGAATTAGTCTAGTCTAGAGTTGCTTTTTCATAGTAGAACAATTAACCTTTTTAGAAAAAAAAAAACAAACAACAACAACAATAACAACCACAAAAGGAAAACGAGGAAGGCAACTTGTAAGCCATATTGTTAGAAATTTCAAAGCCAACGGAACTGCGTGCGATAGTGTTTCGATATAATTACGGATAACATTCGCCGACACATTAACTTTTTCAGCCTTTACCGCCGGCATGCCTGCCAACCTGACTCGAGTTTAACTTTGAAGGCATGCGGGCGGTGAAAACCTGCGAGGTTTCTTGCTGCCGGCGGCGGACATGTATGTTCCCATATGTTGGAACAGTAGCGCACGCAAGATCAGTGGTTATGTCGCAGTTACGTCCGCGGTATTTGAAAACCAGCCTTAAAAACTGGGAGTTGTTAACTATGAGTAATTAGGCCTATCTCTATGCTTGACATATCCGTGAGCCGTGTTTCGCCAGACCGTTGGTGGCATTGATCTGATTGGTCAGGTAATAGCGTTCTTTTTTTTTGTAGCGTTTTTTTTGGTCGTCTGTCGGTTAGAAAACTCGAAATGTGAGTAATGTTTTCAGTTATTGTTAGTTTTTTTAAATTATTTAATGTAAATCTAAGACGGAGTCTTTAAGTATCAATATCCTTACATTAAATCCACGTTCATATTATCAAATGCACGGGAGCCAATGTTTTTCAATATATTTCCTGTAAAACGTCTGTAAAGAAAAGCATTATATGGTGAACAAGTCTGTCAAAAGTGGTGACCCTCTTATACATACACACCGACAGCTTTTATACCAAAGTCGTAAAGTAAGGAAAGAACAAATAAGGACAAACAAGCTAGCCCCAACAACACTCTTCTTGGACGACATTATACACTGTTACGTCATTATCTCCCCCAATTTCCACTTTCATCCGTTCACACGAGAACAGGAAAGCGGTCTGGTGACGGTTTCAGAAAAGTTGTGCTTTCATCGAAATGTTTGGCCCACCAGTAGAAAAACATGTTTATTCAATAAAAATGGAGACCTGTGGACAAGGACTTTCTAGGACCTTCAGAACTCTTGTGCAAATACTTACAGTGTGCAGGTTGGTCCTTGAATATTCTGAAAGGCTCCGGTTTCAATAGTAGCAATACGGTTGCCGCTGAAATCCCTTGGATAACAGAAATAAAATGATATTATTTATTTTATACGAACACTGGTAAGTAGTCTGTATACGGTCGCTCCCTCACCTTAACAAAATCTCCCAAATTTTGTATATGACGGGAGGGGAGGGGGCGGCTGTACACAGGCTATGGCAAGTTGCTGTATCAGTTAGTTTATGATATTGATTTCATAAATTGATGAAAACTAAGCCATAAAAGTAAAGAAAGAAAGAAAGAAAGAAAGAAAGAAAGAAAGAAAGAAAGAAAGAAAGAAAGAAAGAAAGCACCAACAATTTATGAATCAAATAAAAACAAGTTGCAAGTTGAACTTACCATGTAAATCTTTGACCTTGACATGTCACGCCAATGAACGTCCCATTCCTTATTGATGTTATTCTGTTATTACTAACATTTCTGCAAATTCAATGAAATCAGTTGCTTTTTATGTAAGAATCAACTGCGTCTGAGACTCTCAGTTATTTTCTTTCGCCGTGCACACCCCCTTCCCCACCCCGCAAACAGCTTTAGGTCTCCACCTTATACAACAGAACCTCCCTCGAGGTACGGGCGATAGGTCACTTACAGTTGTAGACGAAACGAGGCTGGAGTTGACCTTCTTTTGATACAACCATTCCTGCCTTTTTATGTAAATCAAGTTGGCCTTAGAGCGGTTTTCATTTGAGTGTCGAAAAGTAATTGGTTTTGCACTTTCTACACGATGCGATTGGCTTAAAAGATTCGCGCCACCTTTTCATCCAGTCAGAAGTAAAACCAAAGTCAATTGTGACGCGCTCGCATGCATTTTCCCCGCGAAACGCAGTCGGTGTACATTAATGAAGCTCAAAACTAACCAAGTTACATAACAGACACAGGATACACTAACCGGTCTCTAATTACTTTGGTTTTGGTTTTACGACACTCAAACGAAAACCACTTTATGCTAGCTAGTCACTGGATAGTAATTTGGAAGGATTTCCCCCCTTCCCTTTTCTGATGGTCTGTCCCGTAAGTGAGGTTGACAACCGGATCTTGGGGTATCCATTCTAGTCACAATCTTTCTTGAAGCACCTTTAGAGGAAGCTGGTAGTAGCGATCATATGGAAATCAGCATTTACACTCAACTTACAAGACATTGACTTGCTTATTATGAAAGTCTCCATCCATGGGAAGTGTCGTCAACTGATTATTTCCAAGATTTCTTAAAAGATAAAAAACAAACAAATTATGAGAGAACGCCTCAGGAAGAGTAAAGATCTGGGTGAAAAGAATCTTGTAATGTAAAGGCTCTAGAGAATAACGTAGCAAGATTCTGTTTGTTCTTGTCCAATTAATAAATAGGCCACGCAACGAAAAATGTAGTGAACAGTTAACCGCTTTGTAGGCGGTTAATTGAGTGTCAATGTATTTAGCACTAAGGTACTAATTGATAACACTATTTTTACGTTTCCTAATGGAGACGGGACCGTCATTTTACTTAATCATCCGAGCCACGCGAAGGTCTACCCGTTTGCAGGGCAAAGGGAGTACCTTCATTTCTCAGTTATTTTAACCCCTTGAGTAATGGTCCGACCCCGAAAATCGAACCCGTGACCTCCCGATCTGCAGTCAAGCGCTCTACCGACTGAGCTAGTCATGACACGGTCACCCATTTGAAAAATGGAAAACATTATTTTGTATTGCATGTCCCGAACCATTTACATGTACTACTCACATTGACAAGCTTGACAATGTGGGTAGAACAGCGAATGCTCCATCTTCAATGTAAGCGATGTCATTGTTAGCCAGATTTCTGAAATTAAAAGGTGGTAATAACTCAACAAAGATCAACAGATTACGTATAGTTTCATGTACATTGGCTCTCCCTGTTTCTCTTCGGTGCTAATAAATGCGGTCTTACTGGGTTTGTAAGTTGGAATACAATTTTTCTGATCACTGAGAGTTGTTTAAGAATTTCTACATTAACAATGATACTCCTTTGGCGGCGTCAACACTGACGAATTTTCGTTTTGAAACCGCAGACATTTTTTCCGCGATCTGGCCTTGCGCCCATACTTAATCGATCACAAGCTGAGGTTGATGAAAAAGGACGTCGCAAAAACGCTCGACATTTATTAATAAGAGCTTTGAAAAAAAAAGGTGTTTTTTGTGCGTTTGCTGTTGCTTACACACAATCAAAAACAATGCCAAGAGGGAGGTTTTTGAAAACGCATTAGAGTAGATGTTAGTGAAAAATAATTTGCAATTATTGAATGAGGCTGAGTAGGATATGAAGAATTCTGCAGATCGGGGACGGTGTTCCAGATCCACCGAGCCCGGAGGCCTTCATATCCTACGAAAGCCGAATTTAAAAATTGTTTAAAACATGCTACCCATGGTCGATGTAACTTCATATCGATAATACGTCTTTATCGAGAAGTTTAGGAGATAAAGGTCTGTTCAGGTCTACAAATATACTCCAAAAAGCAGATGTCGTCTGTCTTCAAGCTGTTCTTGCCATGTTTATAGACAATATTTCGCCTTGACACGAGTAAAATGTTCCGCCGACTGTTCAGCCATTTTGTTCTCACTACCAAAACAACTGAACCTCGTCCCTAGGTTTTTCTCGGATAACGGTTCAATAACCTGCAACCAGGCTGCACTTTTGACGTCATTTTGACGTCATCGGTTCAGTATGACAAAATTCTTGTCAAATTTGGTATACAGCAGCTGGTTATGGTGAATTATGCCCGTGGTTTTGACCAATCAGAAACGGGCAAATATTTTGAATGAATAATAATGCAACTTACAGGGTTGTCAAAGCCGACAAATCTTTTAACATGACTTTTAGAATCCTACAAATCTGGTTGTTGAATAGACTCCTGTAAATGGTAAAGAAAATAGTGATACATGTTATCTTAATCGACGTACGATGTTGGTAAGAAATTTTCTTGGCAAAAAGAGTACTTACATAAATGTCAAAGATGTTAGTCCATGAAATGAAGAATTGGGCACACTGTTGATAAGGTTGTTGGAAAGATCCCTATAAAAAATCACTGCATTTTTAATATTATGATTACGTTTATGTTAGCATAATCTTGAGGAGCTGTCTGTGAACAGTGGCCCGTTTTCTTTTCTTCCTTTATCGTTTTTAGCTGAAAATGGCGGGGCCATCACGAGAGATCATACAGCCACCACTATCCATATTGGATAGATCCAGTCGATTAACGACTTACAGTAAAAATGAATGTTAGATAGTTATACCATACTGTAACAGAAAACAGACCAGTTTATGTCAGGCTTAGAATTCGGCCTTCGATCCATATCTTTCCAAACTTGCCAACTGTCGACATTTACAGCCATAGCAGTATGCAGGATTCTTGTCACCTGTATATGGGTTAATGACCTTTAAGTTCCCACGAGTCAGTTGTCAGTGGTAGAGCACTGAATGTGATAGGTTGGACTCATGTTACGAGACCTCAGTTTCTTCAGAGTCGCCTTAGCCATGGGGAGGGGGGAAGGGGATGTGAATAAAGTCGTTTCTACTCTCTCCTCTAAGCTAGGGATGTTTCGCGAGGAGCGAGAAGGGACAGCTGTATTGGCAGGCTGTCTAAGTCATTGACGGTAAAGAAAAAAAACAACCATCCAAGCAAGCACTGAAAGTATACTTACAGGGTGGTTAGCCGTGACAGATTTGTAAACTGATTTTCATGTTTGAAATCAAACTTATTGAAGTCCATATATCTGAAACGTAGTGAAAGGCATATATTTTTGTTTAAAAACGAACCATAACATGAATCAAGATTACACACTGGCCTCCAACATTAAAGGGGTTGTATAACATTTGATGGGAGCACAGGCAGCCTAGACTCTATGTGAACCGTGGGAACGATTTTTATTTTATATGCCATCTTTGAAAAGATTCAAAACAAAAAAAATTACAGATGAAATAAATGATAGAACTTAGATAGAAGTTAACATTGTCAGTTGTTGAAACGTTTTGCACGTGTGTTTTAGTGATTACATCCCGTAACTTTGTTAGAAGGTATTCACTACATAAAAATAACAAAGAATTACATTTGTATTGGCTTACATTGTCCGAATATTAGCAGGGAATGCACCATTTTCCACAGCAATAATTTGGTTGTTTTGAATGTAGCTGTAAAAATACATCGATACTAAATATAAACACCCATGAACACAAAGTAGTGAAATAAATGAGTTAGCATAGCACTGATCGGCATGTTCTAAAACCCGGATCTTAGAAAGACCCTAGATAAAACCAGAACAGTACGGAATACCCGCGGAAAAACCCAGGAACAACCAAGAAAACCTGGTAATGGGTAAGATAAAAGAAGAAGAACACAAAAAGAAAGCCTAAACCTAATATGTAAAATTTTAACTATTCTTGCTGCTTGTTACATTCTATACTAGTGATAACCAAAGGTTAGGGAGTGGCGGGCGAGATCAAAGGTCAAAACGCTGTTGCTCCATCCCTGGGCTTTGCGTAAGGTTTACGTGATAAAAGGTCAAAACGCGCGTGATCAGACTGTGTTTGTTTCTTTGTATTCCATTCTTACTTTAAGGTCCATTTAGACGGTGCGACTTTTGCTTACGAATAACGTGCGCGATTAGCATACGTCATGACTTTCGACCATCCACACGCGCACAATTTTCACTTACGACATCCACAATAACATCCACAATATGTCGTATGGATGTCGTGAGTCTAATTTACACAACCCGATTTTTTGTGAAGTAATGACCTATGCTAGTCGCGCATGATAGTCGTAAGCAAAAATCGTACGGTCTAAATCGGTCTTTAGTGGAA